TCTCCTGAATACAGCTGCATCCAACTCTTCTTGGCTTGTTGTTCTGCCAGCCAGATTGAGATTATTTAATCTTAGGACGATGTTGTAGACTTTTAGCCAGCAGTCAAGAGGGGACAAACCGATCAGTCGATCATTTCTTCTTCTTTCGTTCGCTTGAAATAGATGATATATATCTGCAATTTAGTCTCTATTATGAACGATGTCTTCTGTAGTTAACTTAGCAGCCCGTAAGGTTTGGCTTCCACCAGTGTATGTCTTGACTAGAAGTTTTGTCTGGGTACGTTGTATCTGGGACAGTCTTGGGGAATGTGATCTGTTTTCTCAGGTGCCAATTCACAGGTACACATGGCTGATTCGCCAATCGCCAATTTCGTGTGCATGTGGCTGCGAAGTCAATTGTGCCCTGTTCTAGTCCGTAAGATAATGACTTGCTCTGGTCTGTCCATAATGTAGTGATCGTTCTGTGCCAGTTTCAGTGGCTTTCTGAGTCGATCATGATTCGCTACATTATAAGAAGAGAGTGTTAAACCAGTGGCCCTCAACCTTCCTCGTGCCGCGACTCTTTCATACAGTTTCCTCATGTAGTAGCGGACCCCAAACAATAATTTTCCTTCATAACTTCAATGAATATGTGTTTTCTGATGGTCTAAGGCGACCCATGTGAAAGGGTCGTTCGATCCTAAAAAGGGTCGCTACCGGCAGGGTGAGAACCGCTGGTCTAGACGTTTGCCAAAAGATCTTGTCTCCGATCCCCCCCCCCTCCCCCGCCCCGGGTCTTGCACACAGCCTACCATGGCTGTCACATTGACACAGCCTACATGGCTGCCACACTGACACAGCCTACCATGGCTACCACATTGACACAGCCTACCATGGCTGTCACATTGACACAGCCTACCATGGCTGCCACACTGACACAGACTACCATGGCTGTCACATTGACACAGCCTACCATGGCTGCCACATTGACACAGCCTACCATGGCTGCCCCACTGACACAGCCTACCATGGCTGCCACATTGACACAGCCTACCATGGCTGCCCCACTGACACAGCCTACCATGGCTGCCACACTGACACAGCCTACCATGGCTGCCCCACTGACACAGCCTACCATGGCTGCCACACTGACACAGCCTACCATGGCTGCTACATTGACACAGCCTACCATGGCTGCCACATTTACACAGCCTACCATGGCTGCCACATTGACACAGCCTACCATGGCTGCCACATTGACACAGCCTATTATGGCTGCCACATTGACAAAGCCTACCAAGGCTGCCACATTGACACAGCCTACCATTGTTGTCACATTGACACAGCCTACCATGGCTGCCACATTGACACAGCCTACCATGGCTGCCACATTGACACAGCCTACCATGGCTGCCACATTGACACAGCCTACCATGGCTGTCACATTAACACAACCTACCATGGCTGCCACATTGACACAGCCTATCATGGCTGCCACATTGACACAGCCTACCATGGCTGCTACATTGACACAGCCTACCATGGCTGCCACACTTACACAGCCTACCATGGCTGCCACATTGACACAGCCTACCATGGCTGCCACATTGACACAGCCTATTATGGCTGCCACATTGACAAAGCCTACCAATGCTGCCACATTGACACAGCCTACCATGGTTGTCACATTGACACAGCCTACCATGGCTGCCACATTGACACAGCCTACCATGGCTGCCACATTGACACAGCCTACCATGGCTGCCACATTGACACAGCCTACCATGGCTGTCACATTGACACAGCCTACCATGGCTGCCACATTGACACAGCCTATCATGGCTGCCACATTGACACAGCCTACCATGGCTGTCACATTGACACAGCCTACCATGGCTGTCACATTGACACAGCCTACCATGGCTGCCACATTGACACAGACTACCATGGCTGCCACAACCTACCATGGCTGCCACATTGACACAGCCTACCATGGCTGTCACATTGACACAGCCTACCATGGCTGTCACATTGACACAGCCTTCCATGGCTGCCACATTGACACAGCCTACCATGGCTGCCACATTGACACAGCCTACCATGGCTGCCACATTGACACAGCCAACCATGGCTGCCACATTGACACAGCCAACCATGGCTGCCACATTGACACAGCCTACCATGGCTGCCACATTGACACAGCCTACCATGGCTGCCACATTGACACAGACTACCATGGCTGCCACAACCTACCATGGCTGCCACATTGACACAACCTACCATGGCTGTCACATTGACACAGCCTACCATGGCTGCCACATTGACACAGCCTACCATGGCTGTCACATTGACACAGCCTACCATGGCTGTCACATTGACACAGCCTACCATGGCTGTCACATTGACACAGCCTACCATGGCTGTCAAATTGACACAGCCTACCATGGCTCTCACATTGACACAGCCTACCATAGCTGTCACATTGACACAGCCTACCATGGCTGTCACATTGACACAGCCTACCATGGCTGTCACATTGACACAGCCTACCATGGCTGTCACATTGACACAGCCTACCATGGCTGCCACATTGACACAGCCTACCATGGTTGTCACATTGACACAGCCTACCATGGCTGCCACATTGACACAGCCTAACATGGCTGCCACATTGACAGAGCCTACCATGGCTGCCACATTGACACAGCCTACCATGGCTTTCACATTGACACAGCCTACCATGGCTGCCACATTGACAAGCCTACCATGGCTGCCACATTGACACAGCCTACCATGGCTGCCACATTGACACAGCCCACCATGGCTGCCACACTGACACAGCCTAACATGGCTGTCACACTGACACAGCCTACCATGACTGTCACATTGACACAGCCTAACATGGCTGTCACACTGACACAGCCTACCATGGCTGCCACATTGACACAGCCTACCATGGCTGCCACATTGACACAGCCTACCATGGCTGTCACACTGACACAGCCTAACATGGCTGTCGCATTGACACAGCCTACCATGGCTGCCACACTGACACAGCCTACCATGGGTGTCACATTGACACAGCCTACCATGGCTGCCACATTGACACAGCCTACCATGGCTGCCACACTGACACAGCCTACCATGGGTGTCACATTGACACAGCCTACCATGGCTGCCACACTGACAAAGCCTACCATGGGTGTCACATTGACACAGCCTACCATGGCTGCCACATTGACACAGCCTACCATGGCTGCCACACCGACACAGCCTACCATGGTTGCCACACCTACACAGCCTACCATGGCTGCCACATTGACACAGCCTACCATGGCTGCCACATTGACACAGCCTACCATGGCTGCCACATTGACATAGCCTACCATGACTGTCACATTGACACAGCCTACCATGACTGCCACATTGACACAGCCTACCATGGCTCTCACATTGACACAGTCTACCATGGCTCTCACAGGGCACAGCCTACCATGGCTGTCACATTGACAAAGCCTACCATGGCTCTCACATTGACACAGCCTACCATGACTGTCACATTGACACAGCCTACCATGGCTGCTACATTGACACAGCCTACCATGGCTGCCACATTGACACAGCCTACCATGGCTCTCACATTGACACAGCCTACCATGTCTCTCACATTGACACAGCCTACAATGGGTGCAAGAATATATCCTATAAAGTAAAGGAGTCAACGTAATGTTGACCATTTCACCAGTCTAGCGCTTTTTGGGTCTGGCACCATGTATACAATGCGCCAGTGGCGCGAAAAATGGTCCTTTGACTTTTCTAAAAGAACAGGTGAATTAGCACGGCAACATCTTATCACAAACACTGGAAAGAGGCAGTTTTGTCTTCTTTAAACGAAGAGAAAGACGGGAACACTGGTTAGGTTTATAGAAAGAAAAGCTGGAACAAGCATGGTACCCGCTATTACTATCGTATAAGTTGACACACAGACCCCCCCCCCCCCCCCAAAGGGGGTGGGGGGTTTGGGGCGAGGAAAGACAGAAAAAAGGGGGCGGGGGGGGGGGATAACATTTGACAACATAAAAACTAGAAGCTAAAGTTATAATATTGAGATTTGGACCTGTCACCTGCAAATCTTTTTTTTTTTTTGTGTGATTCAGTGGCTTTGAATTCCGGCGGAAAGATCTGGGTGTTCGTTCACCTCCAGACTTTAGTCTTGTTCCAGAACCTGAGTGTCACAAATTTGGCTTATTTGTATGCAGACTCTTGGTTCCTTGCCTCTCAGGCAGATGTACTTTACGCCTGCAAATGACGACATCACCTCGTAATAGGAACATATCTATTTAAGACACTACCAGACGACAGAAGATCAATCCTTAATGTCACGAACTCTAGCAACGTTGATTTCAGGTCCAGCACACGATGGTTATATTCGACCTCAGACTCCAGCCAAGTGCAGGGTGGGATGAACTGTCAGGACAAATTGAGCTAAGAACTCAGCAAGCACGGTAAAAGCACAGATTTAACCGTTGAGTAACTTTCTGAAGGTGAGTTCACCGGTCTGCAAATAACTCTCAGATTCAGAGGCTGCAGTTATTACAGTCATAATTCAATCTGGGCCCTCATTTTCATTCGTCATCGTGGATTTGTTGGACGCTATTTTACATAAAAACACGATGGACCTGAAATAGCAAACGTCGACTAACGAGAAATTTACTATAATAGTCATAAGCACCAAGTATACACTTGCAAGCAAATTACCCCATAATACTTTTTCAAGAATTTTAGATTTTTGTATGCATATTTGTACAAGCCTTTTTTATGAGTAATTTTATGCTTATGATTGGAGATATTCTTAAGCTCGCTGTAACAGGAAATTCTATACCAAGAGACAGGAACTTTTGAAATACAGTAATGGAATATGATTGATATGTTTTACATAATCCGCACGTGTTGTCTAAATTGCTGATGACACTTCAAGTAAATAATGGGAGATTTTTCAATCGCTTCAAGCGGCGAACGATATGCTAAAAGTTCAACTAATCTCAAAATCTTCCACGAATAGATTTCAGACTTCCTTCACAAAATTGATACTTTGTAACGCAAAAATGAACGTGAAAGCTTGCAGCATGACAACAGTGTTTATATTGCTAATTGGCGCGGTAACTGTTTTATACTGTTCATTTTGGGCTCTTCAAGAAGTTTTTGCCACAGACAAGCTCCTCAGATTTCTGACGAACGCATCTCGTCTGTTTGATACGAGTTGGGAAGATGAGACGTATGTGCCGCTGATGTCAAGACATCGACGGCGGTTTCTGATGTGGTACTTCGCCAGACCTGATATCGCTAGTCTCATCGGTCCAGATACGGGAGCAGAGGCGACACAATATGTCATCTACAGGTGTGATACCGGTAGAATGTCTACCTGTGGAGGCTGGGCGGACCGAATCAAGGGCATGATGACTGCCTACATTATCGCCAACTTGACTGGTAAGACAAATCATCCTCTTCTTCTTCCACATCTGCCATTAGCGTCACGCTGTTACGTTATCGCCAGCTTGACCGGTAAGACAAATCATCCTCTTCTTCTTCCACATCTGCCATTAGCGTCACGCTGATAACCTAGATTATCACTAACTTGACTGGTAAGACAAATCATCTTCTTCTTCCACATCTGCCATTAGCGTCACGCTGTTACGTTATCGCCAACTTGACTGGTAAGACAAATCATCCTCTTCTTCTTCCATATCTGCCATTAGCGTCACGCTACTACCTACATTATCGCTAACTTGACTGGAGAGACAAACCATCCTTATCTTCTTAAACATCTGACATTAGCGTCACGCTGCTACCTTCATTATCGCTAACTCGTCTGGTGAGACAAATCATCCTTCATTTTTGTCCCCAAGCGTCGTGGGGTTTGTGGTCCAGCGCTCGATGCACACACTGGCTATTGTTTTTTCGCGTGGACTTACATTGACTGTCTTTGATTCTTTCAGCACCAGACAGGTTTTTCTTGAGCTCATTGTATCTTAAGAAGTTGTTACTTGAACTGATAAATTGTTAAGAGCTCGGCTTCCGGTCACTATGATGGGTATAAAAGCTTACTCTTTTTAGTTGTGGTAAGTTTTGCTTCTAACAACAGTTAGCCGTTGCCATTTCCTCAATATGTAGACCGAAAAGATATAGTTCCGTCGCCCAGCTACTGAACTGAGTGCATTGCGCCACAATGTGAGCTGCGGATTTAATGTGGAATGCTTTTTGGCTGCTCTGCTTGGCCTGTGTTGTGAATTGCAGATTTCGTTAAATTTCGACCGGTCTTTTGCCAGAAATCTGGTGGTGCGTTAAACATTTCATCGCGTGAGTGACTATTGATCTATGTATCTGCTTCTTCCATCGACGATGAAGTGCATATCTAGTGCTGGACTCTTTGGGTTGACACTTCTAACGGCTACGTTATGCATTTCACGTGTGTGTATGCTATTGGCTTTTTCCAAAATTATAACCAACCCCCCCCCCCTCCCCCCTTTACATTAAAAGTTATTAAGATGTCGGGTAAACGCCAAGGTTTCACATCTCACCAGCTGGTATCCTGGGTTTCACATCTCACCAGCTGGTATCCTGGGTTTCACATCTCACCAGCTGGTATCCTGGGTTTCACATCTCACCAGCTGGTATCCTGGGTTTCACATCTCACCAGCTGGTATCCTGGGTTTCACATCTCACCAGCTGGTATCCTGGGTTTCACATCTCACCAGCTGGTATCCTGGGTTTCACATCTCACCAGCTGGTATCCTGGGTTTCACATCTCACCAGCTGGTATCCTGGGTTTCACATCTCACCAGCTGGTATCCTGGGTTTCACATCTCACCAGCTGGTATCCTGAGTTTCTCATCTCACCAGCTGGTATCCTGGGTTTCTCATCTCACCAGCTGGTATCCTGGGTTTCTCATCTCACCAGCTGGTACAGTGGATTTCTCATCTCACCAGCTGGTATCCTGGGTTTCTCATCTCACCAGCTGGTACAGTGGATTTCTCATCTCACCAGCTGGTACAGTGGATTTCTCATCTCACCAGCTGGTATCCTGGGTTTCACATCTCACCAGCTGGTATCCTGGGTTTCGCATCCTATTCTACCTTTACCTCCTGGTTGTTGTCCTTATCTGTTCAGGTTACACAGGCCGTTGTGGCTGTAGCTTTTTTGTTTTGTTTTGTTGGGAGGTTGAACAGGAATCTGCGTTTTGCTTGTTGGGTTTGCCATCCACACAGAGATTTTTATTATTTTTATGCACAGGGTCATAAATCTTGATGTAGCAGTTGGAGGTAGCAACTTGACTGATTGATCACCCCGTTGTGAACCAGTGGGAAAGCACTCCTAACAGTCACTTGCTGTACCTCCAGCAGACCAGGATAAATATATTTGTATTTGCTGAACACAACAGTGGGTTGGTAATGACTGACTGGATAATGAGTTATTGCTTGCAAAAGCGTGAAGACTCCAATAGTTACTGGTAACCCCCGTATTGGTCAGTCCACTTTAATAAGGACTCCTTAAAAGGATGATATCCCCGAGTGGGTTCCAGGACTCCATAATGGGGGAAAACAAGAATAGATTGACTGCCTCCTCAACAAGAATGTCAACTAAGTGGGGAGGCATCCTTCAAAGTGGGAGTGCATCTGCCAGAGACTAAATTAACCAAGGGTCTGCAAATAAAGCCAGATGTGGGAATCGTACGTGCATGCAAAACTCAGGTTCTGGAACAAGACTTGAGTCCATGGGTGGACAAACACCCAGAACTTTTAGCTGGAGTTTACAGCTGATGGCGGCGTCCGTGGCTAAGGCCTTGCGAGCCCGACTCGTAATCCAACGTGCTGCGTGGATTTTTATCGTGGTATAGGACGTCGCAGGTCGACCCAGCCTCAAATGGGTACCAGGATGGGCGGGTTGTCCTGGGAAAGTAAAGACGGCCGGCGTAATGCTGACCACATTGCCCACCTAGTGCCGATTGGTCTGTAAAAATATGGGTGCTCTTCTCATATGCCCGATGCGCCTAAGGGCGTGTAAAGGGATCTTTACTTTACTTTACAGCTGATAAATGTAAAGGAAAAGAAGAAAAGGACTATAATCTGACAACTGTAACGTACCCACAGTTCACCGCATTCGAGTGAATAATGAAACTATCAGACAAATTGTGGGAATGACAACTTGTGCTAAATTTATCAAGAAACAGCAGATCAAGTGGTTTGGCCATCTCATCAGAATGCAAGACCAGATACCATCACAGGCACTACATCTCAGAAGATCAGCTACAAGAGCAAGAGGGCAGCCGTGAAAAACATGGATCAACAACATTAAAGACACAAAAAGCCTTCATGGCACTGGCAGTAGCCAGTAGCAGCCAGCATGCACTGGATCACAAATTATTCATCCAAAGTTTAACAGAGGAAGTGGTTTATGATGATGATGATGACCACTGTGTTATAGGCCGTACACCCCATACAGAATGAGATTACGATTAATGTCCCAATAAACAGATAGGTGGTAAGACTTTTTGGCACAGGACTTAGTATATTGTAGTCTAACTTTAGTTACGGGTTTGTCTAATTTTTGAGCCACTGTTGGCCAAGTGTATATTTGTAGGGGGTACTTAGACAACAGGTATAAGTCTTGACTAAACAATGTGAGCCAAAAATCTTGAGGTGGACTTGTATATCAGTTTACAGTAGATACGTATGTATATCATTGTGTAAAAATATATGGTAGATTTATACAGGGGCTTTTTTCTACAAAAAAAGGTGCCAGTACTCACCAGTGTTTATTAAAATACCTGTTAAAAAAAATATGCCATTAAACAAATGTGCTGATATTGTGTATCACTAGGTGCCACCAGAGAAAAATTCCCTGGATATGTATATTTACATACAACTCCATTTAAACCTTGTAGTTGTTCATATATCATATCTAATTTATATTTAATTCTATCTCTTCTAGGTCGGAACTTCAAAGTGGAGTTGCTAGCTAAAGGATGTGACATAACTGAATATCTCATTCCAAACCTTGTTGATTGGAGACTGCCCGTCTCCTTTCATAAATCATTACAGAAACTTCCTAATGATACAGGTATCATTAACTTCATGAATCAAAGATTTGCTAATTTCAGTGAACTTAATTTAACCAGTCTCACTGGAGCTGAGCGTTTTGTTTATTTCAAAACCAACACTTTTCACGTCGACCTCTTCAAGTCAGCAATCCTCTTTGAACATGAACTTTCATGGATGAGGAGTTTAACACATGACCAAGTTACGGCCACAGTTTATAAACGTTTGTTTGTCCTTCATCCCCGTCTGCAGGTCAAGCTGCAGTCCTTCCTGTTCCGTACAGTTCCCACGCCACAACACAAGTTGGTCTGCGTACACGTTCGAATGGGCCAAAATCCGACTATCCCACGAGATTCGGAAATAAGAAATTCCCCAGAAAATCTTTTCAGGGTGTGGGAGTTTATTGAGGAGCAGTCTAAGACAGACTTCCATAAAGTTTTTATCATGGCTGATTCAATGCAGACCATAGATGAGGCAGGCAATCAGTCATTCAAGTCACGCATAGTTGAAAACCCAGGACCAATTATTCATGTGGAGCGGTATCCACACGAGGCAACAAAAAGTGACATCTGTCAGGCTGAAGATAAAATTGTGTTCGATCAACATGTGCTGATGAACTGTGATATTCTTATGATCAGCTACAGTGGTCTCAGCCAAATGGCTGCTTTTGTCAGAGGAAGTGATCACGGATTGTACTGTCTCTTGAGAAATGGAACAATTGTGCCTTGTACAACTGAAAATATTTTGACTGTATACAATCAAGGCTGACTGTGGAACATCTGCTCAGTCTTACTTCACAGTATGTTACATCATCAGTTTTGTCATTACTTGCGGGCAGATTCAAAGTTATTCTCTAGTTTCTTAACAAGTGACCAGAAATGTCTCCAACTCTCAAAAAGTGATCACAACCATCTCCAACTCTCAAAAAGCGATCAGAACTATCTCCAACTCTCAAAAAGTTATCGGAACTGTCTCCAACTCTCAAATTAACCTATTATTAGAATCCCTCCTACCCTCTTAAAGACCATTTATATATTCCTTAATGTGTTTGTTCAAGCTGGTTATTTGCAGAAAGCATATTATTAAGGGGGGGGGGGGGCCAAACAGAGGGATATTTGAGTGGGTTTGTGTGTGTAATCTATGTAATAAACATGTCCAACACCAGAATATCACCCTCAGACAAGATGCCAAGAAAGATTACCACAATCTTTGGATCTATAAGCCTGCTGACCAGAAAACAAGAAAGATTATGTTCTTATATTTCATTATGAAAATCCACCAACTGTTTAGGATTATCACTTTTTTGGGATGTTGATATTCTGATTTTTTTTTTCTGCACAGAAACAAATTTTGGGGGGGGGGGGGGGGGGGGGGGGGGTTGGGGGTTGTTCTGATATTTTGTGAGCTCAAGGGCCAGGTTATACAGTAATATTTACACCAGCTTAAAGTTAAATTGCTCCTTGGGACAATTTTGGCCCGTGGGCGTTTGTTTGCTCATCCCTGGGCTAGACACTAGCCTGCAGTTGAAGGTTGTGGGTTCACAATCATATCAAATCATATTTTAAAATAATTGACCTTGGTTCCCAGTCTAAAATGGGTAACTCCTAGGAAGTAAAGGTGGTCAGTGATATGCCAATTGGGCTATAATAGCACCACATACCCAATAAGCCTAAAGGCATGAGAAAAGGATCCTATACAAGTTCCTAGTTGTACTTGTTCACTGTATGATCTGAGTGATTATTTTAGTTAAGGAACTTGTATATATGTCTACATCAGTGATACATTTTCTCTTTTTTTTCTTCTTCTTCTTCTGCTGTCTATTAAAAAAAAAATACTTAAAAAAATGCTTTCATCATTTCATCACAATATTTATAACAACAAAATTATATAGATGTGTTACATCAATGTATTAATTTGATATACAATTATTACTCAAAGAGTGAATAAACAGAATTGGATGATCCTTCTTTTGATTGTATGGTTGAAATAGATTGTCAATGTCTGTGCTTTTTTCTTTTGTTTTAATTTTAATAAGATAACATACAGTAAAAACTGTATACACGAGGGAGATGAATGGTCATAGACTACGCGGCAGACGACGATGGAGAGATAACATCTAGAGAGACCTGAAAATACTTGGTGTCACTAACTAGAAAGAGAAGGCCAACCAAAGAGATGAATGGAGGCGGGTGATATCTGCAGCAATGAACCTCAAGGGCTCGGAATGCTGAAGAAGAAGAGAAAAAGAAGATAACATCCACACAGTCCTAGGACAGCAAGTGGAATATGTTCATTATTTTAAACTGAACAGCTAGTTTCATGAGGTCAATAAATTCACATGATAAATATAGTGGCTCCTAAAATAAGAAATCACAACATCCGTGTAAGGCACTGACTCAGAAAAATGACAATAGCTGATATAAACAGTCACAAAGCAAGAATGGAAACTAAAGAGAGGGGGAAAGAATGAAGAACAGTACTCATCATTATAAACAAGTACCAGTTTCTTTAAGAACACAGCACATTGGAAAGCCACTGGCTCCTTGATGATCTTTCATGAATTATGAACTTGTACAGCCAGAGTATCCTTGATATCCTGTGTCCACCATCATGCCGGTTGACTTCTGCCCTACGAACCTGTTCACCCACTGTGTCCTTGATATCCTGTATCCTCCATCATGCCGGTTGACTTCTGCCCTACAAACCTGTTCACCCACTGTGTTCTTGATATCCTGTATCCTCCATCATGCCGGTTGACTTCTGCCCTACGAAACTGTTCACCCACTGTGTTCTTGATATCCTGTATCCTCCATTATGCCGATTGACACGTGACTTATGAACTTGTACACCCAGAGTATTTTTGGCATCAACACAGTGATGTGGGAGGCTGCTGCACAAGACCATTCTGTATGGCGTACGTCCCTCAGACATGGTGCATCTGCCTGCCAGGCAGCAGAGGTTGCACAGGCAGAGAAACGGAGGCAGACTAGAAAGAATCGTACTGCTAATCCACACCTATTGCGGCTTCCATCTGTTGTCTTCACTGCTCAAGAACTTTCCTGGCTCATATTGGACTCATCAGCCACCTTCGCACTTATAATCATCGATCATTACTACTTTGGATGAAAGTGGTCTTCATCACTCGTGATGGATGAACACCAATATCCAAAGTATCGTTGATTTCATGTGTCCACCATAATGTCAGTTGACCCCTGACTCATGAACTTGTGCACCCAGAGTATCTTTGATATCCCGCGTTCATCATCACGCTGGTTGACTCCTGTATCCTCTTCCAGGAATCATACCCTCACCACTGTTATCTCCAAGCCATTATGGTGTTTAATATGGTCAAAGTACAGTGATACATCAGTATATATTTGCTTTCTAAGAAGTCCAACTTGGTATATGCCCTGTTTAGATATGAACAATTTTGCTTGGTACAAGACCTCTGGAATATGACTTGCGTGCTAGAACATGTATGAGTCAAAATTGGTCAATGAGTCCAACTGGATGGATATGAAAAACTTTGCAGAAAAGTACCACCCAACAAAGCCCAAACAAGCTGTATGTCACATTTTCAAAACACCCTCACGAGAAGGCAGAAGAAAACTTCTTTGGATAGATTTTTAGTAAAAATCAAATCCGGTGAGCGTCAACCAGGTCCAGGTAGGGAAAAGAGACAGAAAGAAAAACACACAAATTTCAGATTCCTGAAGTTTTATTGGAAGTGGACTCTTTCTAGACAACAAAATCTCCTCCCTTCTCAGCATTTAACTCTTCTAAGCTTGGAAGGTTAAAATCTAACTGGTTTTGTATTTAAACATTTTAATTATTAGGAAGTGTCTAAATTATTGTATACAACCCCATCAGTGTGCCAATACCAATAGGATTTTCTTTCATGGTAACAGATTAATAAACTGCCCTTTTTGCTTATGGGAAAAGTACAAGGATCTGGAACATTAAGGACGTATACCAAGTACCGATGTACTTTAGTTCCTGTGAGAGTCCACCTCTGTATAGTGCAGAGCTTACATAGTTAATTTTACATTAAAAACATGTTTGGATGTTGTAAGAAATAACTCAGCAGACATGTAACTCTTCAGATATAAGAAACAAAAAATATATTTGGTCAAAATAAACTTGCAGACAGCACTGTGAACACGAACAAGTTTGACAAACTGTATAGCACACATTATCAACAGACATCGGTGATGTCCACATTGTGCACTTCTCGAATCTTGGCCACAAAATCTGCAGACAACTTCCACGGGTTCAAGGTCACAGACTTGGTGCTGTCGTATGTCTTGTATATGCCCACCAGTCTGTCAGCCAGTTCGAACATGTTGTTTCTCAGTGAGATGATAATGAACTGGGCATTTTTTGTGCGCTCCTGAGAAACAAGCGTCAGTAGAAGATTATATGTAGTTACAAGCATATATTTCAATTATTATAGTGTATAATTTATAAATATTACCTTGGGGGGGAGGTGTATAAATACACACACAGAGGGGGAGGGGAGGCGGGGGGTGGGGGGGGGGGGGGGGGGGGGAGAAAGACAGAAAGAGAAAGAGATATTCCACTTTTCCTGCAAATTTTCAATGAGGCAAGCTCTCATGTCTCAACAGCAGAGTGATGGTACGACAAATTATTGCAAAAGAAACTGGCCACTTATAAAATACACAGCTAGCAGTTGAAACAGATATGAGTATAGCGTCTAGACCAGGACTATTCAATTAAATTTACCCAGGGACCAAAATGTTGAGACCTGAGCTGCAGACTTCGAGGGCTGGATGCGCTCCAACTTCGAAGAATCTTAAGTCGGTCGCCTTTTAGGATATGTTTGTAGGGGGGCAGTCAAAGCTAAGATGAAGAATGGTCATACTGAAGAACTTATTCTACACTTCAAAACAATCATCATCATCAATTTCCACTTCATTAAGTGTTGTGGGGAGGAACAGTTTCAGATCCATTGCTTGATGGGCAGCAATGGCTATTGTCATTCTGAGTCAATGTGGAAGCTCTTTAATATCCTCAATCCATATTTTTCTAGGGCAGCCTCTTGTTTTCTCTTCAGATCTTTTCAAATAACTGTACCAACACACAGAGAAAAGGATTATATTCTAAAGTTGAGGTGTTTCTATGTGTGTATAAATAATACGGACATATTTCTAAAGTAAGTCAGTAAATTTTACCCCACCAGGACATCACACTCAGCGATAAACGCACAGTGACACAAAGAGGTCCCGGAAACCCCGTTAGGCCATATTTATGGCCCAGCTATATTTAGGGTATCAGGCTAAAGCCGAGGTGGAGCTTCAAAGAATAAATTACCTTTATCTTCTTCTTTACGTTCACCAGCTGTAAACTCTGGCAGAAAGTTCTGGTTGTTTGTCCACTTCTGAACTGCAGTCTGAATTGACCAATCTGATTCATTTGTATGCAGACTGCTGGTTCCTTGCCTCTCAGGCAGATGCACTCTGACTTGAAGGAAGCTCCCAATTAGTCAACTCTTAAGACATGCTTTTGGGTAGGAGGTGGGTCTATTCCTGTTTTCCCTATAATAGGGCCCTGGAACCCACACAGAGACATTACCTTTATATAGTTGGCAACAATGGAGACATTCTTGAAATCAAGGGCAGCATCAATCTCATCCATGACATAAAAAGGTGTCGGCTTGTAGTGGTGCAGGGCAAATACCAGAGCCAGGGAGGACAGAGTTTTCTCCCCTCCAGATAAGTTGGATATGTTCTTCCAGGACTTTTTGGGTGGTCGCACACTGTTACAATTACAAAGATGGAATTATAAACATGGTCGCACACTGTTACGATTACAAAGATGGAATTATAAACATGGTCGCACACTGTTACAATTACAAAGATGGAATTATAAACATGGTCGCACACTGTTACAGTTACAAAGATGGAATTATAAACATGGTCGCACACTGTTACAATTACAAAGATGGAATTATAAACATGGTTGCACACTGTTACAGTTACAAAGATGGAATTATAAACATGGTCGCACACTGTTACAATTACAAAGATGGAATTATAAACATGGTCGCACACTGTTACAGTTACAAAGATGGAATTATAAACATGGTCGCACACTGTTACAATTACAAAGATGGAATTATAAACATGGTCGCACACTGTTACGATTACAAAGATGGAATTATAAACATGGTCGCACACTGTTACAATTACAAAGATGGAATTATAAACATGGTCGCACACTGTTACAGTTACAAAGATGGAATTATAAACATGGTCGCACACTGTTACAATTACAAAGATGGAATTATAAACATGGTTGCACACTGTTACAGTTACAAAGATGGAATTATAAACATGGTCGCACACTGTTACAATTACAAAGATGGAATTATAAACATGGTCGCACACTGTTACAGTTACAAAGATGGAATTATAAACATGGTCGCACACTGTTACAATTACAAAGATGGAATTATAAACATGGTCGCACACTGTTACAGTTACAAAGATGGAATTATAAACATGGTCGCACACTGTTACAATTACAAAGATGGAATTATAAACATGGTCGCACACTGTTACAGTTACAAAGATGGAATTATAAACATCACCAGTACCAAGACAACACTGTGATTTAACACCATCTAAAACCCTGTAACAAGAGAACACAATTATCTGTCTACTGATCAGAAGACTGATTTCGAGCATCTAAAACCTGTACCAGAACAATGCATTCTACGAGTAACATAATCTGAAACATGTGGCATATAACAATATCTAAAATCTGTGCCAACTGAACACTGCAATCTGATGTTATCTATAACAGAATAACTGTACCAGCAGAACACTGCAATCTGATGTTATCTATAACAGAATAACTGTACCAGCAGAAAACTGCAATCTGATGTTATCTATAACAGAATAACGGTACCAGCAGAACACTGCAATCTGATGTTATCTATAACTGTTATAAATAAGTTTTTGCCTTTAAATACAGCCAACATGTGAAACAACAATAAGCAAAAACTCTGATAGTCGTAAAATGTGCTTACACAATATATTTGTTGTTTGTTTACCTGAACACAATTCCTTCTGAGAAAGGATCCAGGGAATCCACTAGTTCCAGCTCGGCATCGCCACCCAGTGTGATCATCTGGTACATCTCCTTCAGTTTGTTGGTGATCACCTGTGTACCAAACAGCAATGTTTGCAACATTAAAACAATGCTCAGCACATTGACTCAGTCTTGTCTACCAGATTGCCACAAACAATACATCCATTTGTGATTAACTCTAATGTGCTCTCTTTTATTGGCTGCAGCATTCATGCAGACCGGTCGCTCTACAACTGCTCTGTTCCTGGGTCAGCGGAAATCACACAAAATGTCCTTCACTGTGCTGTTTGAAAACTAGTGAAAACTGTGCTCATTTGCTACCTCTGTATGGCTAGACAGGTCCAGAAAGACCTGGATCACACACATGGCTGACCTCAAATATAACAGAATAAAGTCCTATAGTTCTGACAGCCAATCTTCTTCTTAGTGTTCATCAGTGGAAAGTTCTGGCCACTTGTCAACTTCTGGACTTTGGTCTTGTTCTTTGTCCAGATTTTTGCAGGTACATTGGTTTTACAGATCTGACTTATTTGTGACCTACTTACTGCTTGATCTTCACCACTCAGGCAGACTCACTCTAACTACACCACTCAGGCAGATGCACTGACTTCACCACTCAGGCAGAAAAACTCTGACTTCACCACTCAGCCAGACGCACTTAACTTCACCACCCAGGCAGACACACTCTGACTTCACCACTCAGGCAGACACACTCTAACTTCACCACTCAGGCAGACACACTCTGACTTCACCACTCAGGCAGACACACTTTTCGACTTCACCACTCAGGCAGACGCACTTAACTTCACCACCCAGGCAGACACACTCTTTGACTTCACCACCCAGGCAGACTCACTCTAACTTCACCACCCAGGCAGACTCACTCTGACTTCACCACCCAGGCAGACTCACTCTGACTTCACCACCCAGGCAGACTCACTCTGACTTCACCACTCAGGTAGGTAGACACACCCTGACTTTACCACTCAGGCAGACAAACTCTAACTTCACCACTCAGGCAGACACACTCTGACTTCACCACTCAGGCAGACACACTTTTTGTCTTCACCACTCAGGCAGACTCACTCTGACTTCACCACCCAGGCAGACTCACTCTGACTTACCACCCAGGCAGACTCACTCTAACTTCACCACCCAGGCAGACTCACTCTGACTTCACCACCCAGGCAGACACACTCTTTGACTTCACCACTCAGGCAGACTCACTCTGACTTCACCACCCAGGCAGACTCACTCTAACTTCACCACCCAGATAGACTCACTCTGACTTCACCACCCAGATAGACTCACTCTGACTTCACCACCCAGGCAGACTCACTCTGACTTCACCACCCAGGCAGACTCACTCTGACTTCACCACCCAGGCAGACTCACTCTGACTTCATCACCCAGGCAGACACACTCTGACTTCACCACCCAGGCAGACTCACTCTGACTTCACCACCCAGGCAGACTCACTCTGGCTTCACCACCCAGGCAGACTCACTCTGACTTCACCACCCAGGCAGACTCACTCTGACTTCACCACTCAGGCAGACACACTCTGACTTCACCACTCAGGCAGACACACTCTGACTTCACCACCCAGGCAGACACACTCTGACTTCACCACCCAGGCAGACTCACTCTGACTTCACCACTCAGGCAGGCACACTCTGACTTCACCACCCAGGCAGACTCACTCTGACTTCACCACTCAGGCAGACTCACTCTGACTTCACCACCCATGCAGACACACTCTGACTTCACCACTCAGGCAGACTCACTCTGACTTCACCACTCAGGCAGACACACTCTGACTTCACCACTCAGGCAGACACATTCTGACTTCACCACTCAGGCAGACTCACTCTGACTTCACCACTCAGGCAGACTCACTCTGACTTCACTACTCAGGCAGACTCACTCTGACTTCACCACCCATGCAGACACACTCTGACTTCACCACTCAGGCAGACTCACTCTGACTTCACCACTCAGGCAGACACATTCTGACTTCACCACTCAGGCAGACTCACTCTGACTTCACCACTCAGGCAGACTCACTCTGACGTCACCACTCAGGCAGACACATTCTGACTTCACCACTCAGGCAGACACACTCTGACTTCACCACTCAGGCAGACACATTCTGACTTCACCACTCAGGCAGACTCACTCTGACTTCACCACTCAGGCAGACTCACTCTGACTTCACCACTCAGGCAGACACATTCTGACTTCACCACTCAGGCAGACTCACTCTGACTTCACCACTCAGGCAGACTCACTCTGACTTCACCACTCAGGCAGACTCACTCTGACTTCACCACTCAGGCAGACTCACTCTGACGTCACCACTCAGGCAGACACACTCTGACTTCAAACAAAATACCCCTAATTCATTCATCATCCTGTTGTGCCATTATGTCACACAGGGCTTGCAGTCTATTCCTCCATTGCATTCTAGCCTGTGTAATCAGTTCTTTTTCTTCTTGCGTTCACCAGCTGTAAACTCTGGCAGAAAGTTCTGGTTGTTCATCCACTTTTGGACTGCAGTCCTGTTCCAGAACCTGAGTTTTGCGTGTGCATCCATTTTACAGATCTGACTCATTCGTATGAAGACTGCTGGTTCCTTGCCTTACAGGCAGATGCACTGACTTTGAAAGAAGCTACCAATTAGTTGACGCTTTTGGGTAGACAGTGGGTCAATTCTTGTTTTCCCTACAATAGGGCCCCCAAATCCACACAGGGACAATGAGATCAATACCATGGATGGAATCCGGTCCAGCAGCTTAGGTCCCTCTCATCAACATTCCTCTAAGGGATTCTATTGGATGCCCTCACCTCTTTAATCCCTTCTATTTCCCATTTTAAAGCCTGCTTGATGATTCTCTGCTGGTTTTTTCTCGGGATGTGTCCAGTTAAGCGCCATCTTCTCTGTCTTATCACTTTTGACACTAGTGGTTGCCCAGACACTTCTGTTATTTCTCCACTCCTTTTGAATTGATCTTTTTTTATTTTCATCATTTTCCTCAGACATTTGCAACATGTCACCTTTATGACATGCTTGTTATGGGGGCAGTGGGCCTGTTCTTGTTTGCCTCAAAATGGGGTCCCGGGAACAAACCCGGCAAACTGACCTAATGACACAATGTGACTACACTGTAGTAAGGAGAAGAAAAAACAAATAGGTCACCAAATAACTGCTTTCAAATATATTAATAAAATTATCTGTATTCTAGATATATGTTCATGTATCTGAGGTGCCTGTTTATGTCTCCATTGTTTTTGTAGCTCATATATGATTGAGCGACTTGGGGGAAGGGAGGGGGTGTTAGTGAACACATTTAATAATCCTTAATGTACCAGAGTGCTATTTCACAGCAGGCAATTTAGAATTAGACAGTTCAGAGCATTCTTTAGAGGCAGCTCTCAGGTGGCTAGAGGACAAGATGCATACTCATGTCGTAATCGTAACATATGGAGAAAGGTTAAGACAGGGATGCTTCGAGCAGAGTGGCAAGCTTCACTGGAAAGATTACGGGTAGTGAGCATACTTTAGATCTTTTTCTTCAAGCCATGCTGGCGTAGTGGGAAATGAACAGGCAAACAGATTGGCTGGATTTGCACCATTGGGTGGTGAACTGATACATGACAAGGCAAATATGGTCAAGGCCCTTTGGGAACAAGCAACGGAATCAGTAGAGAAAGAAGATTATAGCCTGGAGAGAATGAGGCACCTGGGTGTAACCAGAGGATCTGGCCGGCTCACTACACTCAGAGGAAAGGCAAGACAGACATATAACCAGGTTGTGACGGGCACTATCAGTATTGGAACTCTGCGCTGGCTGCTGAGGATGACGACAGAGCATGCGTGGGAATGCCCCAAGTGCTGTGATGTCAATTCTTGACTCAACTCAACTCTTTAGAACAGCAAAAAAAACTAGCATAACTGCTCACATCTCTTGACAAGAGCACATGTGAATTTTCTTTCAGGAACATGGTGGTCTGGGAAGGGGTGGGGGGGGGGGATAAGCAGTTAAAGACTGGTTGCTGCTGCTCTTCTGGACGATGATCTAGTTGATCGACAAATCACCCTCACTGCACACAAAACCAATCATTCCATAAGTGCTCTGATCCCCTACTCAGTATATTTCACATCATGTAGCAGCTGAAATGACCAATTCTAGGTCCCTCCATCTCGACTTCTTTTTATGAGTGCCAATTAATACATGTGTTTATTATGCCATTTATAGAAATTGAATTTGAACCCCAGCCTTGACAGGCAAGCATCGGGCTCTGGAGAAGTTGGCCTGCTAAATGCTGTATCCTGCTGACATTACCTGAAAGCCTGACATGAATTCTTCAAGTCGTTGTTTACGCAGACTGTCATGAGATCTCCGCTGCTCGTCTCTGAAGTTGGTGATCTGATCCAGCTCTCCGACACGCTGCAGGTATGTTTCTTCCTAATTGACAGTAATAGTAACATAATTACACCACACAAAAACCTAAAAAAAATGAAACGTTTTCCTGTTGTAAACTTAAATAATGCAGACACAAAAAATACATTGTTAGAGAACTACATCAATATACAATAAAGCCTGAAAACAAAATTAACTCCACTGAATACACAACGCATGGTCTCTCTCTCAATATATTGTTCATCTAATCGTCAGAAGTTTATGACTTACAAGGGGGACTTCAAGTAAACATATCTCCGTTTGACAACAACAGTAAACATATTACTGATTAACAATATAACAGTAAAAGTATCACTGATTAATGATAACAGTAAACAACATCAATGATTAATAGTAACGGTAAACAATATCAGCGACTGACAATAAGAGTAAACAATATCACTGAATAATGATAACAGTAAACAATAGCACAAATTGATTATAACAGTGAACAATATCACTGATTAATAATAACAGTGAGCAACATCACCGATTAATGATAACAGTATATAATATCACAGATTAATAATAACAGTAAACAATATCACTGATTAAAAATAACAGTGAACAATATCACTGATAATAATAACAGTGAACAATATCACAGATTAATAATAACAGTGAACAATATCACTGATAATAATAACAGTGAACAATATCACTGATTAAAAATAACAGTGAACAATATCACTGATTAATAATAACAGTGAACAATATCACTGATAATAATAACAGTGAACAATATTACTGATTAATGATAACAGTAGATCAGAATATATAAAACGTTGATGAGAGCAGTCCTTTTATATGGCTCTGAAACTTGGAGCACAACTAAAAGGGATGAAGCCTTATTACAGGTTTTCCAAAACAGTTTACAACGAATCTTTGGACCCATCAAAGGTACAAACAGCAGGAAATGGAGAGTGAGAAGCAACAACGAAATTCATAATCTGTTTAAATCAACACTGATCACTGGCACCATGAAAGCTAATAGACTGAAATGGCTGGGGCATATTGAAAGAATGTCAGATGAAGTAAAAACTTCATACATCAGGGGGATGAATGGTCGTAGACCACAAGGTAGACCAAGAAGAAGATGAAGAGATAATGTCCAGACAGACCTGCAAACACTTGGTGTCACCAACTGGAAAGAGAAGGCCAACCAGAGAGATGAATGGAGGCGGGGGTGATATTTGCAGCAATAAACCTGAAGGGCGTGAAATGCTGAAGAAGAAAAAGAAGCTAGTGAAAAGTCCAATTTTGGACTTGGTTTTGTTCCATAATTTGCATTTTGACTGAATGACTGACTTTCTACCCCACTAGGACATCACACAAGCAACAAACACCCAATGACACAATGTGCCACCATGTGGGTGAGGATCACTGTGGAGAGGTCCCAGAAACCGCGTTCAGCCTTTAGGCCATATTCATGGCCAGGCTATATTGCGGCCCCTGGCAAAGAGCCAGAGTAGGGCTTCAAATAATGAAAAATTTCATCCTGAAAAGGACGGGAAATGTTATTTGCGTTATGTGACTGCACATTTATTTAACAGATCTGGCTTATTTGTATGCAGACTGTTGGCTCCTCAACTCTCAGGCAGACGCACTCTGTTTTTAAAGGAAACACCACATCAGTCGCCTTTTATTACACTTGTTGTTTGTGCTTGTTATATCATGAAGCTCGCTAATCTAATTTTCATTCAATATTTTTCTATGACCTCTTATCACAAGTTTATTGGCGGTGGTGGTGGGTCTATTCTTGTGCCCCTCAAAATGGGCCCCAGAACCCACACAGGGAGAAAAGACGTGCAGTGGATTTGAAAGATGAGCAAGATTTACTTATTTATGAATTGATTTCATAGCACACCAGGTATATCTAAAAATGTTCCGTATTGCACGGCAAAGAACTTAAAAATTGATGCTGACTGTTTAAATTAGCACACTGGTTGTATCACAAACTTTTCTTGCTAGATCCACATTTAATTCCAAATTCACACATTATTACAAATGTTACTGCATCCAACATTGTATCTTTCCTAAGCATTTGTTCATAAGCGGTCTTCAGAATGTCTTCCATATTTAGTACTGTTCCTATAAGTAAAAAGTAAAGATCCCTTTGCAGGGCCTTTAGGCACATTGGGCATATAGGAAAAGCACCCCAGATTTTTACAGACCAATCGGCACTGGGTGGGTAATGTGGTCAGCATTACGCCGGCCGTCTTTACTTCCCCAGGACATCCATCCTGGTACCCATTTTTGGCTGGGTTGACCTGCGACGTTCCATACCATGACAAGCAGCCAGCAGTGGGTTTCGATCGTGGTACATTGGAATTACGAGTCGGACTCGCAACGCCTAAGCCACGGAGGCCGCATTTTGTTCCTACAGCTATCATTTATTTAGCGCACACAACAAACAAAAAACAGCTCTTTTATTCCCCTGCATGTCCTGGACAGTACATGTGAGTCTACAAATGCTGATGTGCTGATGTGTGGTATACCACATCCGCTCATTCCACAGTTGTCCATTTGGAACCTTCTGCAGTGCTGACAGAATCATACACAGAGAAAGAAGAAATAATACCCATATCACAGACTTCGCTGCATAAGTTGAGGTGGAACCATGGAACACAACAAAATATCAAATTAAGTCACTGTAGCAACAATGATAACAACAAGTTAGATAACATGTTAAAAGATAAAGAGACTTTCGTTTCACCAATGTTAAATACAATGCTTTGAACTCATTTCACCTTTTTCCGGTATTCGGAAATTGCTGCCATGTTAGGTTTCATCTGTGCCAGTTTTTCTTCCTGTATTGTGATTTCTATTTGAACCTCTTGCTTGTTCAGAGACTGTAACTCTTCTGTTTCTAGAGTTGGCAAAGTTAGTTCAGACTGCTCCTCATCTCGCGTTATAGGGGTCAATTTTAACAGGGACAGCTGCGGAAGAATAAATAATAAAAATGGTACAATACCCCACACACACACACAAATTATAATCCTGAAAAACTGCCAGGCTGGTTATCATGCAGAAGATAGAAGCATAATGGCTAGTACATCTTTCAGCCTGCTCAGTGATCAAATGTTTAAATGATCATCAAATTAGATTTTTAAAATGAACCTGGACTCCTCAATCAGGTCATCCTAAAAATGGGTATCAGGGAAGTAAAGGAAGCAAACATGAAAACAAAACCATGTCTGGGTTCACATGGGTCAAGATTCCACATGATAGCCTTCTCAAGACAAACCCATATTAGCCTCATCTCTCTTCTAACAGCCAGCGAAGAGTCTCTATACTGATGGTACTTGTTGTCATCTGGTTAACTACTTCTCTTGCCTCTTCCTCGAGTGGCTCACAGAGCCTGCAGACACTACCTACTGCATCATTCTTTCCACCTTCCATTTTACTTGTTACCTCATTCCACAGACAAGAGATCACCTCTGCCATGTGCAGTTGCAGTGCATCCCCTAAGTATGGCCAGAACGAAAACCACATGCAACATTACATTAGCCACATTAGAATCGTACTTTCTAGCAATAACACAGGAGTGAAAGTCATGAGGATAACAATGATCAGCTGGAAATCCATTACCCCCGGCCATACCTCTCTCTCTTTAAAGGTCATTAATTTGTGACTTGCAAGTGATCCATTACCCCCGGCCATACCTCTCACTCTCTCTCTCTCTTTAAAGGTCATTAATTTATGACTTGCAAGTGATTCTTGCCAGTCAGAGAAACCACAGCCATGGGTTGATTTCCATGTCTCCCTACAGCACAACAAAACACTATTATCTGGAACAATGGAAAGGTACCAAAAATGTATCTCACCACTGGTGGACTTTATAAAGATTTAATTAAACAAATAAATACAAGGAAATTCAAGGTAATAATGTTGTTGTTTGCATTCACCAGCTATAAACCCTGGTGGAAAGACCTGGTTGTTTGTCCATTTCTGGACTTTAGATTTGTTCCAGGACCTCAGTTTTGCATGTGCATCTGTTTTACAGATCTGACTTATCTGTATGCAGATTGCTGGTTCCTTGCATCCCGGGCAGATGCACTCCGACTTTAAAGGAAGCACCCAGCTAGTCGACTCTTAAGACATGCTTCTTAGGAAGGCAGTGGGTCTATTCTTGTTTCCCCACAATGGGGCTACGGAACCCAAGAGGGGAAGGCGGGAGAGATAATGAAGTAGAAGAAGCACACGCCAGAAGTGGTTTAGAAAATTATTTTCTGTGATGATTATTCTGGCTTTTGCCTTTCACTTTCTTGGACTTCCCTTAAAATTTCCTAATTGTTCTCCCCTTCACTGGTCACAGAAAAAGGTATCAAGCTGAGTGCATGAGAAGTACACAAGAAGAAGACAACGTACATATGGAAGTGTCCTGAGTGCAATATACCAATTTTGTGTTTTTGAAAAGAAAAGATGAAATCAATATTTACTGAACACATTTTTCTAATCAATGATAACATCTGAGTATATACAAGTCTGACTTACCTCTTTTCTCCAATGCTTTAGCTTGCTGCGATTCTCCTTTATAATACCATCATACTTTTCCACCTCGTACTGGATGTTCACACCATCCTTGGCCATGTCTGACTCTTGTTCTTCTATGGCTTCTATATTCTTTTTCATCTCTTCTAGTACAGTCTCTTTCTGTCTCACGTCTCCCTGTTAACAAAATCACAGAGAAAACGGTTATCTGTCCATGCCAAACAAAATGTTTGCCTAAATTTCTCTTGCCAAACAAAATGTTGCCTAAGTTTCTCATGGCAAACAAAATGTTTGCCCTAAGTTCCCCTATCAAGAAGTACACAGCAAACACAATTTTTCTGTTTCAAGTCTCCCTATTGATATAACCCCAGAGAAAACAGTTAACTTTACAGGGCAAACACAAGGCTTCTGCCCCAAATGTCCTTACTGACAAAACCACACATAAAACAGTTTTTTATTTTGTACGAGTGGAAACACAATTTTTCTGTTTCAGGTCTCCCTGTTGACACAAACCCCCAGAGAAAACAGTGATGTATGCAAGGCAAACAAAAGCCCTTTGTCTTATCTCTCTATTGACAAAACCATGCAGATAACACAAGAGGTTAACAGACTGACGAAATACTGCCAACTTCTACATCAAAATAAATCTTACTTGAGATTTTTCAAATACATTCAGCAGGTTAGTTGCCTCCCCTTCCATGCTCTTCAGTTTCTCAGATAAGGTTTCAATAAGCTTTTTTGTGTCTTCGATTTCCTCATTCACAGACTCAACCTTCTCCTCTGCTCTCTTTAAATTTCTGTTGTGATACAGGGATGGAAGAATCCTTTGTGAACCTCACACACACAAAATACAGACATATTACAGAGATGAAAACATATTCCCCTCATATAATGCATTCTAGCTGATCTTCTTCTTCTTTACCTCCTCTTTTACCGCTTCAGGTGTCGAGGTAGATACAAGGTCCTGCTTCATGCTCTTTTGGCTGCTTCGACCATAGACTGCAAAGTTTCTCTGATGTTATCTTCCCACCTTGTTTTTGGTCTATGTCCTTCTTCTCTTTTGGTATATGCCTTGAATGGTATAGCATAAGAAGGCATTATCTCTAAGTGAGCAAATCATTTGATTTGCTGTCTTTGTGTGTAAATTAGAATTTGTTTTGTGCCGACTTTATCTTGTATGACCTCATTCCTGATTTTAATTCTTCTGATCACTCCTAGTCTTTCTCAGACTCTAATTGATCAAGTAACATAAAATATCATTATCAACAGGTAGCAGGTCCTTTACATCGGGCATGTCAAGCGTGTGGCCCGCATGCTAGCACAACTGTGGCCCACATGCTAGCACAACTGTGGCCCGCACAAGGAAATATTGTGCAATTACTTTTATTAATTACTCATATTTGTTGTCCTGTGTAGCCCTCATGACATAGTTTCACCCATATAGTCCTCAGGGGGCCCTCATGATGACATAGTTTAACACATATGGCCCTCAGAAGGCCCTTATGACGACATAGTTCCACCCAAAAGGCCCTCATGACGACATAGTTTCACCCATATGGCCCTCAGTTTGAAATGCCTGTTTTACACAACAACGCTCTCATCAAGACAGTCTGGAAAGCCACTAATTCCCACTGCAATTTCTCTGCCTTGTGAATTTCTGCCCATGTTCTATCCTTGCTTCCATTTTTCTAGTGGATGATATTGTGCTAAATAGATACTTGAAGTCTTTTGCTTGTTTCAGCTGTTGGGGTTTTCTACGCACTTCTAAATGTTATCTTGCTCGTGTGCTGGTTCTGGAGATATAGACCCCTCCCCCTCCACAACAAGCACCCTTCAGCATGCTTCCTTTAAAGTCACAGTGCATCTGCCTGACAGGTAAGGAACCAACAGTCTGCATACAATTAAACCAGGTCTGTAAAACGGATGTGCACATAAAACTCAAGTACTGGAACCGAATTAGATAAACAACCAGAACTTTTCACCAGAAGTATACAGCCAGTGAATGGAATGAAGAAGATGAATGCTGTCTACCTCGTGGTGGGCTGCCTTCAACTGTTTCCTGAAGTCTGACTTTAACAACAGTGTAATAAGTGTAACCAAAAATAGGTAACTTCTCTCTCTGTTTTCATTTCTTTTGATGACTATTGATTCCCAATTTCTCCATTTTTTTAAAATTATTATTATTATTTTGTTTCAGTCAAATACTACCTTCTTTAAAACAAAAATTTTTTTTTAAATATCCACACCTTAAAGGCCTCAATTTCTTGTTACCAGAAAATGAATAGAGATAATCCAGATTCGTCTTTTTACAGTCCATGTAATGTGGAGATGGTAGTCGTTTCTATCCACAACCTTCTGTCTTGTGCACTTACAATGAATTCTGTCACAATCTTTCATGACATGATGTCAGACTATCCAGCATCTCCATCTTTACCCTCCAACTTTCCAACTGTTACAATGTACTCTTATTTTCTCCAACTCATGACAAGACCAAAGAAGGTACATTGTCTACTTTTGATGTGGGCAATGCAAACTGATTGGTACCCTTCCGCCTTTCCAGATGATAGTGTTATATTGTGCTATGGGGAGGCATGGGACTCACAGCCCATGGCGATGGCGAGTGTGACTAGCAAGATCCAAACGCGTCAAGAAAAGTCTTCCACAATTATAGCATGGGATTTCAGCACCACTGTTGTCAACATAAGCTGTTGTTGCACAGTGGCTAGTATATTGCATGTTAGCCAGGTGGTCATGGATTCAAATCCAAACTGAGACAGATAATTAAACCAACTTGGATAATGTTGATCATATAGCTCAACAAGCATTGCATGAGGTATACAAAATATCATCATCATCATCCTTTGTGTGCTGTTAGACCTCACATAGCGCTCATGTTCGATTCCTCCACTCCGCTCTATTGCATACAACTTTCTTGATTTCTGAATGGAGTTCAGCCCAGCATTTTTTTCCCTCTCGCAATAATGTTTTTCCTAATGTTTCCCTTAGATGTCCTCTTTTTTCCTTCCTCTCAGACCATTTGTTTCCCACTTCAGTGTCTGTTTTGTAATACTTTGTTTATTTAGTCTCAGAGTGTGCCCCATATATCTCCACCTTCTTTGTCTTATTGCAGTCGATACAGGTATTTTGTCCGGATATTTCTCTGATTCACTCATTCTTTTTGAATTAATCTCATTTCATGAAAAAACAACATTCCACCCAACGCCTACTGGGTATCATGAGCATGGAGACACAGAGATGGCTGCTATTTTAGAGAACAGTGCATGAATGAGTTGGATAAAAGTGCCAGGGTGTCAATGCGGACAGCAAGTAACAAAGTTTAGAGATTAATGATTGTTTTCAATCTCTTCAGAATCCTCAAGCATTTGAGTTTTATTTCCATGGTGGATGATTTTTTTTAAAACAAAAAAAAACCCGGTTTTTGTGGTTTTGGGGCTATAGCGTGAGTCACACTGAGGAAGTGACTGGAGCCTCATCACGCAGAAAGAAATTATGGCACGCATTGGCAAGGCATCAGCAGCCTGTTAAAGCTTGAACAAAATTTAGAACTCTAAATTATATCGTTTTAGAACCAAGTTTTTTTGTTTTCAATTCTAATAATTGAGTTTTAACAAATGCAAGTGAAAGTTGGAGAACCACTAAAGACATGGAAATAAACATGAATGCATTTGAACACCTCGGGGAAATGATGAACATAAAACAAGATAAATTCAAGAGAAGTCAAGCACTAAGAGAAATGTCAGGGCAACCACGAGTTTCAACAGTTATAAGACAGAGAAGATGGCGCTACTAATTAGTTAGTTAGTTAGTTAGTTAGTTGGGTTATCCTCATTGCACTCCGGACATGTCCATAGGTGCTCAGATCCTCCCCTCAGTATGAATCCCAACGTCCGATGGCTAATAGTACCAGTTCTATGTTGATTAACAAGTCTTCTGGCGTAGCTGGTGTGCGTCTCGTTTTTTGCTGTGCCGATTGGCGCTACTAATATTCTGAGAAATGACAGACAGAGGATCACAAAATCAGGCACCGAAATAGGAAAAAGAGAGACTGAGAAAACAAGGACATCCAAGAGAAACCATAGGCGGCACGTTGATGAGAGAAGCTAAAGATTAGATTGGCTTCCATCCACACTGAAGTGATTGCCAGCTCTATGTGACACATAATGACACAACAGGACATCAGTAGATGAATGTGATATTCCCAAAGACAGCCGTGGTACGCTGTAATCTTCTTCTTCTTGTTCACCGGCTGTAAATTCCAGTGGAAAGTTCTGGTTGTTCAACCACCTTTGTACTTTAGTCCTGTTGCAGAACCGGACTGTCACCTGCATATCCATTTAACAGATCTGACTTATCTAAATGCAGAATGTTGGTTAGATGCCTCTCGGACTTCAAAGGAAACTCCCCAATTAGTCGACTCTTACGACATGCTTTTGGACAGGCAAAGGGTCAATTATAGATTTCCCACACACAGAGGCCCCGGAACCCACATGGGGTGTATACTGTCGTCAACCTTCAATGGCAAAGAATGATCTGATCTGGACAGCAAACATTTCAGATAGAATTACCTCTCCGCAGTTTTGACATTAACACTGTTCTTGGTTATCTGCCCAGTGACTTTATCTATGTCATTGTTGATGACCTTCAGCCTTGACTGGACAGCACACAGTTTGGCTCCTCCAATTTCAATGATCTGGTTGTGCAGGCTGAAGAGAGAGAGCAAGAACAAAATAGTCTCACAAAGGTAATAGGCTGAAACATCTGTGGAAGAGGCATTCATGATGAGTGGAAGCCTCTGATGAGCTGGTTGTCTAATGGAGTTTTCACTGCAGACACAACAGCCTTTTTAGAAGGACAGATGACAAGTTGAAATGTGGTTTACAGTAAGTAGGGCTGTGATATGGGCATTGGTACATTTGCATTCACTGGGAATGTGTCCGTAAATGTAAAGATTTAGCTAAATTAATAAAAGAGTTAACTTGGTAACTCTTCCAGTCCCAGGTAAGTATTTCATTAACCCCTTCTATTTTAAGCAGTCATTGCTTAAAGTACTAACCAGCTGGATCTAAAGGGGCTGAAATAATTTCACTATGGACAAAGAGAAAAGAAGTGGGGGGAGGGGGTTCCTGAGTGGTCTCAAAGCATGGCATCCACCTTCGGTTGCTGGAGGTCCCACGTTCAGGCCCCAGTAAAGGCTGAGATTTTTCATGTGGACTTTTAGTAATTTTCCCAGTCACTGGGTTGTAAGATCAGATGTCCATGTGTTGCGCATGTAAAAGAATTTCCTGAGCAGCTGGAAATCAAAAAGAGTAGCCTAACGGTTAACAATTTAGTTTTAAAAATCTACCCAAAATAGTTCAGGATCCTCACCAGTGCTAGGGAGTCTTTGCAACGTATGGAGATTCTTCTGACTCAGACTTGAGTTAGAAGTAGAACGGAGGACTTATGGGTTACTACCCTTGTGCCATATAAATGGAGTAAGCACACAATATTTTGAATGTTGAATTAGTAATCAACATCACAGCGCTCGGGACACTTCCATAAGCGCTCCATCCCCATATTCAGCAGCAAGCGAAGAGTACCAGTTACAATGGTACCAGTAACTATCTGACTGTACATCCGTCTAGCCTATCCCTTGAGTGTTGAGCGTCGGGGAAATCCCCTGGTAACTCCCTGCAGCACCAGTCTCCTCTGACCATAATAATCTATTTGTGCCTCTGCAATGTTCACTTGCCCCCAAAGGGCCCTCACAATATCTAGCTTGTCATACATCAGTTCACCACCAAGTGGTGCAGAACCGGCCAGTCTATCTGCCTGCTTATTTCACACCACGCCAGCATGAAGTGTAAAAAATATCCAAAGAACACTAACTACCCAGGACCTCTGAAGCGATGCTTGCCACTCTGCACGAAACATGCCTGTCTTCACCTCTCTCAACATGCTCTGTGAAAGTTACAATTACGACATGTGTGTACTGCTGATTCTCAATCCAGCAGAAGGCAAAGTGACTGCCTCTACCTCTATTCTAAAACTAGACGTGATATCATATGCCAGGCTTTGCTGCACTAAACCACGTCCATTTGCTTTTTCTATGAACCCCCATGCACTTCGTCTACCTCTCAACACAGAGACATCTGTATAGATAATCACATCATCAAGAGTGAGCACAAGGAGTTAATAAAGAAGTATCGGGTTTAAAAAAAAACTAAAAATGCAGGATGAGTTGCTTCATTCGGAAAGAGCCAGTGAATGAATGCTTGGAATTTTGCACCTAAAATATCTGCAAGATGAGGTGGTAAGTGTTTCCATCCCAAATCCTTGGTCATCCCCTTACAACATGTATGCCAACTTCCAGCCCTTCTATTGTTTGCTTCACTTACAGGTCCTAGCAACACACTGGTGATGATGCATACAATTAATGGATTCAAAAATAGCCACCTTGTATCAAATATGACAATTACTGTTTCAAGATACAACATTAACAGTTCTAATATATACTGCTTATCTTCTTCTTCTTCTTCTTCTTGCGTTCGCCTGAAATAGATTATCTATATCTGCAATGTTGTCTCTAGTATGAACTTCACTGCTTATAAAACTGCAACAAAGGTCCTGAAATCCAATGCACTAGTCGTAGAAAACATTCATTACCCTACCAGACCGTTGCACCGATGTTTAGGAAATTTCTAAATCTGCCGCTATACCACTGTACCAAATTTTCGGTACTTTGCCTAGTACCTGAAAAAGAAAAAATGCGTCACAAACTAAAAATAACTAATCAACTGTGGTCAAACCTCATGGATAACCATTGCAAATGTCTGCTCCCATGTGTGTGAATTAACTTTGTGAGGTTTAATGTGAAAAAAATTATAACAATTCACAATGAAACAAGCGGCTGATAAACCAAGCACTTCCAATAGGGGATCGATACTTTTGTTGATTCAGACTCTGAGGAGTCAGAATTTTACCAAGAATACGTTTCCAGTTCAAGTGACACTATCAGTGAGAGCTCGAGTGATGAGGAGAATCTTGTCTTGAACCTCATAGAGCTAGATCAAAGTAAGAGAAGGGGGTCGTGTCCCTCAAACAGATAATGGGGGAGATCTAGGTGGTGATGAAGGCTGGACAAGGAATTTTGTATCACCAAATACAGATCTGAATTTTACTGAGGATGGAAAAGTGAACATTCCTAGATCTATCACAGAGAAGAGTGAACTGACTGACTTCAAAAAAGGCAACTTTTTCACCAGATATATTCAGAAACTGTGCCCGCAACTTATTGGTGGCTACAGGACATCAGCCCACCACCACCCACAAAAGGAGCCCTGCCCTCAACTGATTACCTCAGGCAATCACTTTCTAGATTCCCCCAGGACATCATCTAATCATTGCTGTGTTGTGTGCATGGAAAAGCTCTCCAGGTACAACAAACAAAATCCTGGAGTGTCTTACACAGATAATCCATGCAAGAAGGTGAAGAGCAACAGCTGGTGCTCACTTTGCAAGAAGTACCTCTGTGTGAAACAAGGTTCATCCTGCTGGGTGGATTGGCACACAAGGGGGGAATATTGGTTCCAGATGAAAGGTAGACCTATTTTCTACAATGTCTCCAAGTTCCATCTTATTCTAACCACTTGTTTGCACCTAACTAACATTTTTCTATATCATGTAAGTTTTTCTCTTTAATGCTCAGGAGCCCAGGTAAAGGGGACAGTTAGGTTCAGAGCCTCAGGTCTGGTAGGGTTAACATAAATAGATCTTGCTGGTCGCCCTAGCCACGAGATTCCCAGCCCTTGCCATAGCACAATATTATAATATAACATTATTAAACAGAAAAACAGAAAGTTGTCAACAACAACATACCCTTTTACTTCTTCCTCCAGTTTCTTGGCTGTTCCAGCAATCTGGTCATACTCTGTAAAAAAAAAAAAAAAAAAGATTTTTGTGTGTGTACTTGTCTATTTTGTGTTTGTATTCATAAGTTAAAGTTAGCTGCATATTTTTTACATGATGTTACAGAACCAACCCCAGCATTTTGTGTTGTTTGCTGTTGCTGCCGCATGCGTGCGAGGGAAGGGAGAGGGAGGGAGGGAGAGAGAGAGAGAGAGAGAGAGAGGAGAGAGAGAGAGAGAGTGAGGCAAAAGGGTGAATGGAATGTGTTTATATATACGGCAGCCCCCCCCCCCCCCCCCCCCCCAACCCCCCCCCCCCCCCCCCCCCCCCCCCCAACCTTTGTGAGGAGCCTACTAACTAACCTGTGTGGCACATCACAAATTCAAATAATTATTGAGAAACTCGTCAAACAAACCTTTACGGCACTGATCGACTTGAGCCTGCAAGCTGTTGAGTTTAGCCTTGTCTGGTGTGACAGATTTCAGCACATCCTCCTGTTCCTTTTGCTGACTTTTGAGTGCAGAAATCCGCTCTTTTAACCCCTGTCAGACAATTTTAATGGAGATTAATATGTGCGAAGTTTAAAAAAAAAAAAAATACAGAGACAAAGAGTTTTCATAGAACTATTTAATCTGTGGAAATCAAAGGAAATAATAATCAATATTACCAATATTTCCCTCTAATGTCAACTTAGTACTTTAGTATGGAGCTGAAACATGGAGGACTAAAGCAATTGGTAATATACTACAGACACCAATTAACTGGTGTCTGCACAGAATAGATGGAATTAGAGCTCTGAGACACAACCAAACAAATTGCACTATTATTATTATTAATGCCCTTTGAGAAATAGGAAGGGTGGAAGACTTTGGGAGTAGTGAATCCACAACACTAGCCAGAATGATAGACCTGTGAGATAAGATCGGCGTAGCTAAAAATGACTCACACTAGGCACACCAGAGGACTTGTTAATTAACATAGAACTGGTACTATCAGTCAGCGGACGCTGGGGTTCATACTGAAGGAAGGATGTGAGCACCTATGGACATGTCCAGAGTGCATTGTTGATAACCCAACTAACTAGCTAACTAACTAAACAAATTCCAGTAAATCAAAACGTGAGGACAAAACGCTGGCAATGAAAGGACATACTTTTTTAAAAAAAACCTGATAATAGTATAACTAGAATATCTTTAACCCACAATGTCAAAGGAAAAAAAGTAAACCATAAAAATAGAGAATGGAACTAGAGAGTCAAGTTAAAAAAAACAAGGAGGACACTCGGGTGAGCTACATCTTATGGCAAAGGACAAAGACATGAGCTGGCCTTTACTTCATAGGAGAATAAAGGGCAGCAGGAGAAAATGTCAAAAAACTGGAAGTAACCCATAATAATAGTATATGATACAAAAATAAATACCCAAATGTTTAAGCACACTAGACATAGCCATAAGTATCCCACCCCTAGCAGCAAATGTAAGAATGTGCCATTATCATCAAGTGCCTTGTCAACTGACGTGGACGATCATGGCACTTCACAATCTGCAACTTTATGTATCAATTCCTGTGACCACACACCTCCATTCCATTACAAAGGTTGTCAAGAATCTTCATGCATTGTCCTCCTCTATCTCTCTTTCCATATATCTTTCCATCAGCCACAAAATGTTCCATAATGCATAGCTAAGAGCTATTCAGCTAAGTTTACCCAGGGGTCAACATTCTGAAAACGTGGATCGTCACAGGCCAGTGGCCCGAGCTCAGAAACATCATTAATGCAACACAATTGGCAAAGATCAGCGGGCCACTCGCTAAGCTTTCTCTGTCCAAATCTGGCTTGCGGGCCACCAGCTGAACAACACTGGTGTAGAACATGGGTGTTCTAGCCACAGACTGATTATGCGTTAACACTGCGTACTGTTTCTTCTTGCCAGACCCACAACAACAACAACAACAACATGTTTTCCTGTCCTTTGGGTTTACTGGGTGTACAACTCTGGCATAAAATGCTAGCTGTTTTTCCACTTCTGGACTTCGATTGGTTCTTTACTTCTCAGGTAGACGCACTCTCACCTTGCCTGGTTACTTATCATCCGTTAAACCTAAGCCTAACGGTGCAAAGCAGATGTTGACACACACACAAAAAAGAAGAAGAAGAAGAAGAGGAGATTCACTGAAATGATATCACAGACAACGTACCTTCAGTTCAATGCTGAACTTCTTGAGGTCATGCTTCATGAAATTGACATCTTTCTCCTGCTGTGTAATTGTGTCCTCCAACTTGAACTTTTTTAACCGCAGCGTCTCAGCTTCTTTCTTGTACTAGAAGTAAAGTATAGTTTTCATTTCAGTCTTTATCTTAACATAATAAAGCATCATCATCAGTCTTTAAAAGTGTTTGTAATTAAATCAGCAGTTCCCAGTGTGTAGGGAAAACAAGAATAGACCCACTGCCTGCCTAAAAGCATGTTGTAAGAGTCAACTAATTGGGAGCTTCCTTCAAAGTCAAGAGTACATCTGCCTGAGAGGCAAGAAACCAACAGTCTACATGCAAATGAGTCAGACCTGTGACATGGATGTGCAGGCAACACTCAGTTTCTGGAACAGGACTAAAGTCCAGAAGTAGACGAACAACCAGAACTTTCCGCCGCAGTTTACAGTCAGTGAAAGCTAAGAAGAAAAATAAGCAGTTTCTGTTGACTGTTCCACCTCTGTCAGTCAGGTGCAACAGACTTTATGTGTACATAAATAAGGCATGTTCATAAATAAGGCGTGTCCATTCTCCTTCACCAATCTCTGCAGTCTCATTTTGGGGGAGCCGGTAAATCTTGTAACATCCCCCTACTGTGAAATGTCTATAACTGCATTTTCTATCTTTTCACTGTTGTTAAAAGAGGTTCATAGTTGTCAATGTGTTCAGTGATGATAGTCAGCTTCATGATGTGTGATGCGGTCTCTGTATGACTTATCAAGGATATTTCAAAAAGATCTCAATTTCAATGTTATGTGTAAATATAAGGCCATTGTATACACATTTGAAATGATACAGACTGAGAAAACAAGCTCACAGAGGGAGAGAAAGAACATGATTAACTTGACAAAGTATACATCTCTCAAACATTAACCAAACAAAATAAACAAGATTGTGAGCTTTTTAAGAATACACAAATATAAATGGGCTGGATAGCAAAAAGATCAAGCACATAGGGTAAAACAGAACTATAAAAAAGCAAAAGCAAGTTGTCTAAGTTGGTCACAGTATAAAGTGCTGAGATCTGCCACCAAAAATGCTGCCTCCTCTGTAAGTATTAGACACACATAGAGATACAGATCCAAAACTGCATTTTATCAAATGAAAAACATCTTGTGCAATATATCCTTGTCAAAGAGTTAGAAAAAGAATTCTTGCTTGCTACATACATCCAGTTTTAACATATGGCTGTGAATCCTGGACAATCGGTAGGCAGGCCAAACAATTTCTAGAGGCCTCAGAGCTGTGGTTTTACAGAAGAATGCTTAGAATACCTTGGACAGCTAAAAAGAGCAACCAAGAGGTTTTGAAAGAGGCAGGAGCCCGAAGACAACTTATCCCAGACATCAGAAGGAGACAGTCATCATTTTTCGGCCATGTTAGGAGAAGAGGGAAAATGGAACATGTTGTGACCACTGGAAAGATCTGTGGAAGGAGAGATAGAGGAAGACAATGAGAGAAGATGCTTGACAGTCTTGTTGCATCGCATGGAGGTGTGTCGGCACACGAACTGATACATGCTGCAGGAGATCGCAGATTATGGAGAGGCATGATCGCCCACGCCAGTCAGCAAGGCACCTGATGATGATGATAATGATGAGAGATACAGACAGAAAGGTACATAGGTAAATAGACAGAGATAAATAAAAAAAAGGACAGACAACAACAACAAAAAAGCGATAGATGAGAGACAAAGTAAGAGAGGGTGAGAGACAAACATAAGAGTCGGGGAGCTCCAATATCTACAAAATCCAGGGGCAAAAATGAGAACAAAGAATGTCCAAAGTGGAATTACTGAGAACAAGGGACAGTCAAATTACTTACCAGAAAGGACTGAAATTACTGAGAATAAGTGACAGTGGAATTACCCAGAACAAGGAAGGCTGCATTTACTGATAAAAAGGGATAGTGGAGTTGCAGAGAACAAGGAACACTTGAATAACTGAGTTAAAGGGACAGCAGAGTGACAGCAGATGACGACGTCAATATTCAGACTTCAAACTGATGATGGTGTAGGTAAAAAAAAAATGAATAGGTAATTAGTCGCAGTTCCAACTTCATGGCGAATGGGGCATCTCATAATATATTCACATACTTATCTCATAAAAATGTGCGCAGACCTGAACACAGCTAACAGCTTACCTATACATCTTGTAAAAGGCAATTACAGACAAGTCAGAAAAGTGACATTTACGAAGAAGTGACCTCAACCGGAAGTGTGAGTTTTGTGGCTTCTCAGGGTGACAGGACTAACAAAGACAATTTACCATTTCCAGCGTGTTCTCCATATTGCTGAACTCTCTGGGGTCAACATCAGAAACAATTGAGGAACCCATTTTCCCTCTGCAGACAGTGTTGCCACCGCCACTCATAGCACCTGAGGGAGGAGAAGAACGTGCAGGTAAGCAACATCCGATATCTACTGGCATTCACACTTCTGGATTCCCACTAACTCCCAAGGACAACCAGCATAGTCTTCTTCTACCTTTCATTTTTCACTGGAGAACAGCCCCTGGCTTATGCCAGGGTTTTTGTAGACTTGTTCATAACTACTTGGATTCTGCAGCTATGTGCAAACCAATAAGATTGTAGAGAGACTTATACAGGCAGACCCACAAACATTTAAGAGTCACTAAGTGAAAATAGAAGGAAAGTCAGAGATGAAGAGAGGTGGGTGATATCTGCAGCAAAAACCCCAAGAGCTCAGATTTCTGAAAAGTAAGGCAGCATGTTTCCTAGGGGGTAAGACAGCCAGTCACATGTGAACCCTCCTTAAGATATGTATGGTAGGAGACAGTGTTGCTGTAAAGATACACTTTGTGACATATTAAATAAACAGCTATTTAGCATAATTTTTGTGTAGGAGGTGGGGGCTTAGGAAGGCCAGCAGGCCAGAAAAGACAAACATGGGGTTAGTGTGATGATTGTGCATGCAGCATGAGAATAACTGAACAATGTTAGGATAATGTGTGGGAACTGAACTGATGATTAGAAGAGTGAAAGGACTATGGATCTTTATGTATTTGATGCTTGGATGAGTTGCAAGTGTACAATTATTGTCTGTTTACCAGCAAGTTGAATCTACTCAAGCAGCCTACAGTGAAATGTATCTGACCATCTGACAGACAACAGGCAACTTCAGTTTTTCTATGTAATGAGGTAGCCAGTCTTATACCAACTTTTCTCAGTCATCTCATATTTTCTTCTTCCTGTTACTTTTCTTCTTAGTGTTGACTGACTGTAAACTCTGGCAGAAAGTTCTGCTTGTCTGTCCACTCCTGGACCTTGGTCTTGATCCAGAACTTGAAATTTGCATGCACATCCATTTTACAGCTCTGGACTGTTTGCATGCAGACTGTTGATTCCTCACCAAGAAAATATCCACCAGGTTCATGCTGAAAGACCCCCCCCCCCCCACCCCTTCCCACCATAACACAACTTCCTGTGTACTTGACAGTTACTAGGAAAAGAGTTATAGAAACTAAAATTTAAACGAGAAATATAAGAAAGGGGGAGGGGGAACAGGAAATGAGAGAGTAAAAGGAAAGATAAAGAGAAAAAGAAGAAGATAAAGATCAGAGGAGAGGGGGGGGGGAGAGAGAGAGAGAGAGACAATGCAGGAGACGGGAAGGAGGGAGTGAGGGGGAAGGGGAGGGTGAGAAAACAGAAAATGGAAACGGGGGGAATTACAATGTTGATCGCCAAACACACTGTAGGGCCAAAAATAGAACCTGGAAATCCAGCTGACTTCACTTTGCTTAGCCCCACCATCTCCCAATGCAATAATTGTTTCTAGAAACCAAGGCCATAAAGCTATTTATACTATTAATACTGCCAGACCCGCTAGAAACAAAGGCACACGCACACCAGACGCGGCTGCTCCTTCCCGCCCCCATGATACAATGCTGCTGTCTGTATCCATGGGCTGCAACACAGCCAGCCCTTTCCTTTAAAAAGCCATTTCAGCTGAAAATAGCCGACAATCAACTGCCCTCACACCTGAAACGACTGTAAACGAAAGTGGCCAAAACTAGCCAAATGGAAAGAAAAAAAAGCCTAACTGCCGAAAATTGTTCCAACGATCTCATTGCAGCGGTCAAAATTCACGGTTTCTTAAGGTCAGAATGTCGTTTTAAAGGTCAAAATTAATGTTCCTGGTCCGAAAAATCAATTTCATGGTGAATTCAAGTTTTCCCAGTCGGCTACGAACCCTGCTCACCTCTCAGGCAGATGTACTCCAACTTTTAAGGAAACAACCCCTAAATATGACGCCTTCTATGACTATGCTTCTTATGTGCAGTGGGTCTAATCTTTGTTTTCCAAAATAGAGCAGCGTTTTCCACAGTTTTAGTTTTCATGGAAAAGTCATCTTTTATGTTATGAGTTACTCTTTAAAAAAATATAAAAAAAAGCATGCTCAACACACTTTAGCAGCAATGGTCTGGCAATTCTATTCTCTAATTGTGGAAGACTTCTATTAGTGCAGCAGTCGGATCTTGCAAGTCAGACATGCAATTGCCATGACTGCCATTATCATGCATCCCTATAGCACACAAATAACACTATTGTCTGGAAAGACAGAAAATTGTAAACCAATTCTCTGCTGCTGTGTGAGTTCTGATTTCATAACACAGAAGTCAGAGGTGCCACTCAGAAACAAAAACAAATATAGAATAAGGTGAAATCTGAAGGAAGATAGACTATCAGATTTACTGACAAGCAACATTTGCTACAAAGAAATGAAGACTAATGGCGAAGACATAGCATCTGAAGGAAGGATATTAACAGATTTGTTAAAAACAAAGCCTTACCTGACATTTCTATCATCTCTCCCTTCAGGGTGACAACTCGGTATCTGGTTTTTCCATATGCTATTCTTGCTGCCTGGTCAATGTCCTTAGCAACAAGAGTATTGCGGAGGGCAAAATAGAAGCAGGTGGCAACAGTCTCGTCTTTGACACGGACCAGATCAAAGAGCCGTGGTACATTCTCAGGACTGCAAAAAATATTCACAATAATCTGAGTTCAAGGGAGGTCATTCTCAAAGCACAAGTAGGAAACTGTCTTTTCTGTCAGAATAAAATTGTAATAGCTGTACTTAAGTTTAAACAAAATACTTTTATTCTTCTTCATTACCTTTTACGCCGACATGACCAAATGTGAAGATCAAAGTGAATGAGGTCAAGTGTAATTTTTGAAATCTTTCTACCCCTTTGAGCACTTTACCTCCTGTTACAATTTTCTAAAGCATGTTTATGGAGTCTGATACAAACAGGTTAAAAATATGAGAGCAAGAGATGAATGCTAAAATCCAACCACCATTATAAACAACAAGAGAGGCAATCCTGTATTCAATCCACACCAAAGGCTAGAAAGATGCGCAGAATATTTTAAAGAGCTAATCAATCCTGAAAATGAGATAGATAACATCAGTTCTGTGCCTAAGAGCAGTGACCAACATGAAACAAACTTTTTAACATCAGAATTAAAAGCTATTATACAGAAGAGCCCTAGAAACAAAGCACCTGTTTTAGATAGAATAACTATGCAAACTATTCAAGCATGTGGTCAAACAGGCATTAAATGGCTAACATGAATTTTCAATACAGCATGGGAAGAAAGGAAAGATTCACTTGACTGGCAGCAGGCATTGATAATACCAATTCGGAAAAGTGAAGGTAATTCAAGAGTCTGTGCATTGTACAGTGTATCACTCTTGGGCTACATAAGGAAAAATGTATGCAAAGTTTTTAGAATAGAGAGTTAGACCTGTAGTGGAATAGCACCTAAGTACATCCCAATTCGGTTTCAGAAAAGGAAATCGTTGCAGATGTATTTTTTTACACTAAATCAAGTTTGCGTGAAAACCACTGAACTAAATATTGTTTGTAGATCAAGATTTTATTGAATACATGAATAGAATATTTTTAAAAAAGCCAGCTTTACAGCAGCTGACGCAGAAAATTAGTAACTTTACTTCCCAGTGAAAGAATTAGATCCACACACAATAAATAAGCTACTATTTGCAGACAATCAGTGCCTGTTCTACAATGAGGGGAGTAGACTGCAAGAAAATTTGAACAGGCTAAGTTCAACACGCAGATAAGAATAAACTCACAGGGAGCAAGTACAGCGGGGATCTACAGTCATCAGTAGAAATTATCCTCTTTCGACACACGTTTCGGCCCACGATTCCTAAACGTATTCGGAGGTGGGCCCACCTGAGTTCATGAAGCTCAGGGCTGCTTCCCCGCTGCACGGAATTACCGGATGGTGTTACACTTTCGGCCAGAGACAAGACGACTTAGTGGTTTCGAAGGAGGTACTGTGAGATAAGAAGCCGCCGCGACAGCGTAATTAGAACAGTCAGCATGCCTGGACGACCGAGCGACAAGCTTACTTTGGTTTACCGGACACATGTTGGACTTTTATTAGCAGATGGCAGAGGAACACTGGCAGACAACTCGTACACGATGGACTTTCAAAGGGATGAGAAACTCCTTTCCGCTAGACACCCGGACCAGCTCACCGAGGCCCGTCCCCTACGTTGTTGCGCTGCGTCCAGAGCCAGCTCGAGGCCCTTTCGGCTGCCTCACCCAGTTTTTTAAGTGTTCGTTTCCGTTCATTACCGCGCAATCCTAATTCTTTCACCACATTGTAGAGCGAAGTGGAAACGAGGCCTCTTGCTCCCACTTCGACGGCAAATACCCGCACTGTGTAAGCCTCGTTTCTCCTCAAACCGGCTGCTAAATCACTGTACTTCTCGAGCTTGTACAAATGATTCTCCTCCATACGCGACTCAAACGGGACCGTCAACTCAATCAGGATGAGTTGCCGTTTTTGCACAGAATGGAGAACGATGTCCGGTCGCAGGCCGGTTTTACGGATCAACTCGGGATACCGTTCATGGCCTGGCAGATCAACCGCCAGTAACCAGTCCCTCGCAGAGTCTAGTACAGATGGAGCGAATGCGTTTTTGTTGACCTTACCAATTGGAACCTGCCCAGCCTTGAGGAAACGAATGGGGGCGATACTAGAACTGGCTCTGGCGTTAGCCCTCATTCTAGCCTGGTCGACAACGGCTGCTAACTCCTTTAGCACCTTGTTGTGGCGCCAGGTGTATCGGCCTTGACCTAGAGCTTTCCTGCACGCGGACAGGACGTGCTCAAGAGTTTGCTTCCATTTGCACAACGGGCAAGTCGGATCGTTGGTCGCAGACCATTTAACCATGTTAACACCGGACGGTAATACATCGTACGCCGAACGAACGATAAAGCTCAGTCGCAGCGGGGTCATCCGCCAGATCTCACCCCATGTGAGTATTCTCGGCAATGCGCTCTCCAGGCTGACCCAATGGCCCTGCTGGGCAGCTTTCTGGACCCGAACCTCGTTTTCGTTGTCCCTCACCGTTTGTATCACCATGTCTCGGCGCTCTTTGGCTGAGGCCTTTGACCACCAATTGACCTTCCCGTGCCCTAGGCCTCGACGGTCGGTTTGTGTGTAACCCATTACCTCCTTCAATTTTAGTGCGTTCTGAGCAGATTCTATCGCATCGAGGACCCTCCACTTCTGACCAGTCTTTAGAGCGGGCTGGACAGCGATGACATTTGGGTCTGAGGACTCGCGCAGAAGCATGGCGAGCCTAACTTTGCCGACTTTAAACTCTTCGGTTATAGACTTGAACGGAAGTACCAGCTTAGCCTGTTTACAATACAGAGCCACGTCGGTCAGACAAGGCGGTGCACCAATCCACTTTCTTAAGGCTGTGTTGATTTTCTTTTCCATGGCTTCCACTGCAGTCATCGTCACCTCGTAGACTGACAGTGGCCATAGGAGTTTCGGAATCAACATGAATTGGAGACACCATACCTTGAATTTCCCGACCAGCCTGCATCGCTCGATCGCGAGCAGGCCTGTAGCCAGTGACTCATGTATTCGCCGGACTTCCGCTCTGTCAGATAACTTTGAATCGTAAACGCGACCGAGACTCTTCACCGGTTCCTCCAGAACCGTAGGGATCTTGTTCCTTGCCACCGTAAAACTGGTCGCCGACACCCTGCCCTTATGGATTGACAGACTCCTCGACTTCTGCGGTTTGAACTGCATACCGCTCCATTGGACCACCGCGTCCAATCTTTTCAGGATCGTGCGGGCAGACTCCTCGCTGCCCGTTATAATAGTCGTGTCATCCATAAATGCGCGTAGTGGCGGCAACCAGTGATCCCCTATTTGAAGGCCCAGTCCGTAGCCGGCCGCCCCGTCTAACATGATCTGCATTGCCATGACAAACAGTATGGGTGACCCGAGTACAGATAGATGGACTTAAGAGCAAGAAAGTTTTGCTGCGCCATGGCGTCCCACAAGGAGGTGTCCTGTCCCCCACACTCTTCCTAGTCTATATCAACGACCTGCTTTCTGAACTACCCCATGGAATTAAAGCTGCAATGTATGCTGATGACTTGGTACTCTGGTGTACAAATGAAAATGCGACAGTGGCCACCAGACTACTACAAAGAGCCATAGATGCAATGGCTAAATGGGCCGACAAATGGTGTGTCAGCATCAACATAGGCAAATGCAGCACCACTCTCTTTACCCTTTCTCCTAAACAAAAATCAGGCGCCATGCACATAAATGGAGTACCCCTGAGAGAGGATAAAGAGCCCACATACCTCGGCGTAACGTTTGATGATAGATTAACATGGAGAAAACACATCAACAAGGCAGCAACCAAAGCCAGAAGGAGGGTAGCCATTCTGAGAAAACTAAGTGGAACCACATGGGGTGCTAGCGGGAAAATACTTAGAAAAGTTTACCAACAAAGTGTTCGACCACATCTTGAATACGGATCAACAGCATGGAGTTCGGCATCAAAAACCACATTGCAAGAATTAGACAAAGTGCAAAATCAAGCACTCAGAGTTACCACAGGCAGTATGAAATCAACACCTATAGCTGTGATGGAGAAAATGGGGATGACCCAAGCACTAAGTGAACGCAGAGACACCAAGATGCTTTTACAAGCAGAAAAGTTTCTTAGTATGCCCAGTCACCCTATGAATGAAAGATTCAAAAATTTAGCTTTGGGACGACTAAAGAGAAGTAGTTTTATCCACCAGGCCAAACGGCTCGGCAGACAAACCACTGATTTACCTGCAACTGATAGATCCTTAAATGCTGTCCCAGAACGGACCCCCTGGAGAGAGGAGTATAAGTTTCCAATACACATCAAGACTGAAGTGAAAGGGGTATTTGACAAGGAAGAACAAAACAGTGTGCAGCGCAAAACAGCCACCCTCAGTTTACTTGATGATGAATACCCGCAGAACCTTTGGGTCCGTGTTTACACAGATGGGTCAGCAGAAAGCGCAGTCAAAAACGGAGGTGCGGGAGTGTACATTGAGTATCCTAATAATACCAGGGATACAGCCAAATTACCAACGGGAAAGCACTGTCACAACTATGATGCAGAAGTTCAAGCCATCAAGATAGCGGTAGAGAAACTACTAAATACAGGGTATTTTTCACAACCAGTAGTATTCCTGACAGATGCAAAAGCAGTACTTCAGTCACTCAAGTCTGGAAAATTACCAAGCATACGGACACTATTATCCGAACTAGGCAACCGCTGTAAATTAGTAATGCAGTGGATACCTTCCCACTGTGGAGTTCCCGGAAACGAAAAAGCTGATCAACTAGCTAAGGAAGGTGCAACTGAAGAACAACCTGACATACCAGTCTCTTATCAACAGAAGAAGAGAATGATCAAATCAATCAGAATGCCACCGAAACTGGCACAAGATGATTACCATATTATGGACAGACCAGAGCAAGTTATTATCCTTCGCCTTAGAACAGGGCACAATAGACTTCGCTCCCACATGTACAACAAATTTAAGATTGGCCAATCGGCCATGTGTACTTGTGGACTGGCACCTGAAACAACAGATCACATCCTTCAAGACTGTCCCATATTCAACGCTTTCAGGCAAAACATTTGGCCAAAAGAGACACTTGTGGAAGTCAAACTTTACGGGCCGCTTAGTGAATTACAAAAGACAGTGAAATTCATACAAGAGACGGCTTTGCAGATATAGACAATTTATTTCATGCGAACGAAAGAAGAAAAGAAGTATGGGTGAGATCGTACAGCCCATAGCTATCCCAATCTGCAACTCAGTCCACCTCGTGGTAAACGTCGAGGTAGAGAAGCGCAAAGCGAACTTAGAGAAATATTGCTCGACCATTTGACTGATCTGTGACGGTACGTGAAACATGCGAAGGGCTCGCCACAGTAGCCTATGGGGGACTGCCCCGTAGGCGTTGGCTAAGTCCAACCATATAACGTGCAAATCGGTTCTCTCATGCTTGGCTCTCTGGATAGCCTCCCAGATCATGGTCGCGTGTTCAAGGCACCCAGGAACGCCTGGAATACCACCCTTCTGAACACTCGTATCTATGTACTTGTTAGTCATCAGATACTGTGTGAGCCGGCGAGCCATGACTGAGAAGAATATCTTACCCTCGACATTCAACAGCGAGATGGGCCTGAATTGGGAAAGACTCTTCGAGTCCTGCTCTTTGGGAATGTAGACCCCATTTGCCTTTGACCACTCTGGACATATGTGATTGCGGATCCACGCTTGTCTCAACAAGACGTGAAGCATTTTTAGGATTTTCGGGCAACGCTTGTAAAAAACGTACGGAACACCGTTCGGACCTGGGGCAGACTTGCCGCTGGCCTTTTTCACAACGTCCTCAACCTCAGACCAAAGGGGAGGTACCAGTTTAAATGGTACCTTCGGCACCGAAGGCTGTTTGAGTCCGCTAAGGATCTCTGGATTGTCATCGAGAGGCTCTCTCCTCTTTTTATTCGAGTACATCTTGCGTAGATGTAGCTCTAGTTCTTCCTGACTGACAACCAGAGTCCCAGACTTCGGTTGCTCGAATAGACCTCGGGCGAACTGATACGGGTCCCTAAAGAATTTCTCTCGCTCCCTTTTGGTTCTGCGTCTGTTGTTACAGAAACGCTCGGCACGACAGAGGGCACTGTGTTTGTTCTTTAAATGCAACCAAACTTCGTACAGCCCCTCCCGTTCGCTGCCTGTAGCGGCTTTGAACCGTTTTCTGAGGGCATTCTTGTCTGCCCGACACTTCAGAATGTCCCTCTGCCTCCTGCTAGTATTCTGCTTGGCACCCGGCTGTGCCTTTACTACTGTCCCGAACTCGCGGGAGCAGTGTTCATATATTACATCACCAAATTTAGTAAGCTTGTCGCCTAGCGACTTCTGTTTAGAGTTTGTTTAAGTACCTCACATAATGTAGCCTCCAACTTACACCACACCACCTTCTCGCTCGCAGGTGGAAACCTGATCTTGGAACGCACTTCTTCAGAAATCATCAAAGGTGCTCCTCCGCAGTCGACGTCATGGGCCTCTCCGGGCGAGTGGGGTTCACCCTGCCCGTCGTACCTTGACGACTGACAAACTACCACAGGAGTGGTAGTTTTGCGACGGCGTTTACTGCGTGGAGCACCCTCGCATTTCATTCTTCCGGCATGCGTTCTCAGACCATGCAACCCCGTGAAGCTTTTCCCACATGTACAGAGCCAGCCCTGACGTTGGGCGAGTGTCTCAGTCCGGGCGCTAGCAAGGTCGTCAACGAGGGTATCAATCAGATTGGGCCCTTCATTCTCCCTCCTTTCGGAGGGCCCTGGGGGCATATTTCATTGTGGTCGTACGAAATCGGAGGTATTTTACTGTGTTAGGGGTGATCAACCCGGTCCACAGTCGACATCTGTCTCCAGATGTCAGTTTATCCCCCCGGCGATACCGGGGGGCCAGTCTTTCCAAAGGTGTCAAAAGGTCTTTCCCGATAGTCACCAGTCTTTCCTGGTAGTCTTGTGGGCTAGCCACGTACAATAAGAATAAACTCACAGGGAGCAAGTACAGCGGGGATCTACAGTCATCAGTAGAAATTATCCTCTTTCGACACACGTTTCGGCCCACGATTCCTAAACGTATTCGGAGGTGGGCCCACCTGAGTTCATGAAGCTCAGGGCTGCTTCCCCGCTGCACGGAATTACCGGATGGTGTTACACTTTCGGCCAGAGACAAGACGACTTAGTGGTTTCGAAGGAGGTACTGTGAGATAAGAAGCCGCCGCGACAGCGTAATTAGAACAGTCCGCATGCCTGGACGACCGAGCGACAAGCTTACTTTGGTTTACCGGACACATGTTGGACTTTTATTAGCAGATGGCAGAGGAACACTGGCAGACAACTCGTACACGATGGACTTTCAAAGGGATGAGAAACTCCTTTCCGCTAGACACCCGGACCAGCTCACCGAGGCCCGTCCCCTACGTTGTTGCGCTGCGTCCAGAGCCAGCTCGAGGCCCTTTCGGCTGCCTCACCCAGTTTTTTAAGTGTTCGTTTCCGTTCATTACCGCGCAATCCTAATTCTTTCACCACATTGTAGAGCGAAGTGGAAACGAGGCCTCTCGCTCCCACTTCGACGGCAAATACCCGCACTGTGTAAGCCTCGTTTCTCCTCAAACCGGCTGCTAAATCACTGTACTTCTCGAGCTTGTACAAATGATTCTCCTCCATACGCGACTCAAACGGGACCGTCAACTCAATCAGGATGAGTTGCCGTTTTTGCACAGAATGGAGAACGATGTCCGGTCGCAGGCCGGTTTTACGGATCAACTCGGGATACCGTTCATGGCCTGGCAGATCAACCGCCAGTAACCAGTCCCTCGCAGAGTCTAGTACAGATGGAGCGAATGCGTTTTTGTTGACCTTACCAATTGGAACCTGTCCAGCCTTGAGGAAACGAATGGGGGCGATACTAGAACTGGCTCTGGCGTTAGCCCTCATTCTAGCCTGGTCGACAACGGCTGCTAACTCCTTTAGCACCTTGTTGTGGCGCCAGGTGTATCGGCCTTGACCTAGAGCTTTCCTGCACGCGGACAGGACGTGCTCAAGAGTTTGCTTCGATTTGCACAACGGGCAAGTCGGATCGTTGGTCGCAGACCATTTAACCATGTTAACACCGGACGGTAATACATCGTACGCCGAACGAACGATAAAGCTCAGTCGCAGCGGGGTCATCCGCCAGATCTCACCCCATGTGAGTATTCTCGGCAATGCGCTCTCCAGGCTGACCCAATGGCCCTGCTGCGAAAGATATAACAAGAAAATAAATGCTACTAAAGCTGAAGTAATGCAGGTCAGCAGAATTCCTAGTCCGCTACACATCGGGTTGAATGGTACTTGTCTGAAGCAAGTTTTAAAAAATTGAAATATCTAGGAAATATATTCTCGGAGAATGGAAGAATACATCGGGAAAAGAAACAAGATGCCAACGAGCCAGTGCACTTATATACCAACTGACACCATTATTAAGACACTCAAACTTAAATATGAGCACCCAAAAAAAAAAACTGATTATAAACAGCATTTTCATACCAACACTGCTACCAGTGCCAGGCATGGACAGTATGAACCTAGGTAAAAATTAAACAGCTGTGAAATAAGATGCCTGAGAAAAGCCGCCAACTTGATCATCCGAGACAAAGCTAGAAGTGGTATTATCAGACAGACTGTAGGACTGACAACATGCAGCAAATTCATTGAGAAAGAAGATCAAATGGTTTGGTCATCTAGTCAGAATACAGCCAGAACTTCCAAAACTTCCTGTAAAACTGTCCTCACTTGTCTAGTGACCTGTTTGCGAGACGCAAAATTAAGGTTACTGGCTGAGTTCGTGCCTGCACAAATATTTTGGAGGTCAGGATATGAATATATTAGCTAAAAATAGCCTTAAGGTAGTCTTTTCCTGAACCAGAAAGCTTTCATTTAAGCCAAGTTGAAGTCAGATTTTCCCATAAACCTCAGTAATAGAGGTGATGGGGTTATAGCATGAGTTACCCAACACAGGCCCCAGGGAAGGTATTCCATTTTATGCTTCACTCTGTTAATGTTATTTTTATATATCTTTATAGGTTTTGAAGAAAAAAAATTTAAAATACAAACAAGTTGTTCAAAAATATATTAGTGATCTGAGTACGACAACAACATTTTCTTTTTAGGATTTTGTTGTTGAGAATCCTTACGGATTTATCACCTACTTTTTTTTTTCAATGTTACCGGGGCAAAAGGTTTGAAACAGTTAGTTATAGAAAAGTGAAAAACAAGCCCAGCATCTACTGACTGCCGATTTTAAGCACTAAATTTTATCTTTAGTAGTTTATCATTGTTTTCTTAATGACACATATTTTTCTTACTTCATTTCATTTACACATAATACTCTAAATGACAGACTTCAGAATAGAATGTATAAGTACTGAAAGAGTTACACAATAGACTTTGCAGCCATATCTACAAGAAATTCAAGAGTGGGCACCTGGAGAGATACCAGATGTGGCCAGGTGGTACTTCAATAGAAACGAAGCTTATGGAACCATGGAAGATATGCGTCACAACACAGACTTCATAGAGGTCTCTGGTTTTCTCATCAGAAAATCACTGGCAGGGAGAATAGAAAAGAAATGTGAAGCTGACAAAGATACTTTACATTTTGACACTACTCACGTTGTAAGCCTCCTCTTTGTTTCTTCTCTCCACACTTCCATCTTTTCCAACAGAATAAAGTTGCCCTGCCCAATATTGTTCTTTTTCAGGAACTCTATACACTTCTTGCCTGTGTCAATTGTGTCCACAACAATGTGGTCCAGACTTCCACAGGCTGTAGAGATGGCCACATCATACTGGTTATCAATAGCTCCAAGGTCACCCTATAATAAAAGAGAAAAATGTTTTATTTTAATTGAAGCAGCTATATCACTATTTGTGACGGACAGGGGAAAAGGGTATCACTGAGGACGAACTTTTGACAGCAGAATTATACAACAGAACTTGTATTTGAAAGAGTCAAAGGATTGGCAACAGAATTGTATTAACAACAAAAAAACTCTATGTAAGAGACAGGCAGTCACAAAGTTACATAAAGTCGTCCCCTCGTGGAATGCAATTTGTTATTTGAGGCCACACCCTGGCTTATGCCAGGGGCCCTGAATATAGCCGGGCATAGATATGGCTTAACGGCTGAAAGGGGTTTCTGGGACCTCTCCACAGGTGATCCTCATCCACATAGTGGCACTTTGTGTCACTGGGTGTTTGTTGCTTGTGTGATGTCCTGGTGGGGTAATTTATAAAAGAGAGAGAGGAAGGGAGGGGGAGAAAGAGAGAGAGAGAGAGAGAGAGAGAGAGAGAGAGAGAGAGAGAGAGAGAGAGAGAGAGAGAGAGAGAGAGACAGAAAGTGGTATCCCTATGGACAGACAGAAAAAATGGCAACAGTAGATAAGCGACCATAAAGATAGCTCTTGCAATAACTGGAACATACAATCTCCTCTAGTATTTCACTGTAGACACATCTAAGGGGGCTTGCAGGGTGTGACAGATAACAAGGCACCCACTGTCATCAATATTCAGACAGACAACAGAAATAATTAGTGGGCGCACACAAACTCACATCTGCTGTGACAGAATGATGATCAGTGTCAGTTCTAGTAAGACATAATTAACATTATCAACAAGAAACCCAAAACACTTGCAACAAAGCCACATATAAACATTTCTGACATACAAATATCAGATTAAAACAGGAAAATATGTGGCATGCATACATACATGTGATGTGGCTACATACACGTGACAAGGTTACAAACATGTGACATGGCTTCATACACAACTACATAAATGTGGCAAGGGTACATACAAGCGGTACAGTGGCATTTACAATTCAATTTTAACATTCAACAAAAACATTTATTTATTATATAACTGACCAATCGTCCATAGATGCCAGGAAGTGCTCCTCTCTTTTTTTCTGCCATCAGAGAATCCAGAACTCGATTTTGACTTTTAGTCGCTGCCATTGAACTCTTGATCTCCTCTACTTTGTTACGCAAATTGTTACGCTAGTAATCAATAAAATATTTCATGAAACAATGTCTGATAGCAGACTTCCAACAAACATCTTAATCAAGCAACAATGACGGATAGCAGACTTCCAACAAAAATCTTAATCAAGCAACAATGACTGACAGCAGACTTCCAACAAACATCTTAATCAAGCAACAATGCCTGATAGCAGACTTCCAACAAACATCTTAATCAAGCAACAATGCCTGATAGCAGACTTCCAACAAACTAAAAACAACAATGCCTGACAGCAGACTTCCAACAAACATCTCAATCAAACAACAATGACTGATAGCAGACTTCCAAAAAATATCTTAATCCAGCAACAATGACTGACAGCAGACTTCCAACAAACATCTCAATCAAACAACAATGCCTGACAGCAGACTTCCAACAAACATCTCAATCAAACAGCAATGACTGATAGCAGACTTCTAAAAAATATCTTAAGCAACAATGACTAATAGCAGACTTCCAACAAACATCTTAATCAGGCAACAATGACTGACAGCAGACTTCCAACAAATATCTCAATCAAACAACAATGCCTGACAGCAGACTTCCAACAAACAATTCAATCAAGCAACAATGCCTTGACAGCAGACTTCCAACAAACATCTCAATCAAACAATTGTATGAAGTTAATGAAAAAAATAATCTTAAATAATAAAAATAATAATACAAAATATATGTTAATTAATTTAAAAAAAAAAACTAGAATGATCTAGCACTGAAATCCATGTATACACGAGCAAATATCATGGTGTATAGACTACAGCAAAAACATACACACAACAGATTTTGAGGGAAAGAGCTGGTCATCACAACTCACAATGCCATAAGCAAGTATATGAGTCCTTACCACCTACAGTGCATACTACTACACAACCAGACATGCTGTTTTGGATTCATCCTGGCAAACAAGTAGCACATTCGATCTATGCCTGCTTGTGAGATCTCTGTGTGACACAGACACACAAAGGTTTGGGTGCTGACCTCTTACGTAATACTGTTTGATGCACTGCCACAATTCTCTTGCAGCCTCAAAGAGTGCCAAATATTTAGTTCCCTGCCACCCTTCATTATTCTTTCTTTCTTTATTCTACACCTCGAATGCCTTGCAGCATCAGGCCAGGAAGAGATCTCTGTTCGCTTCATATAAAGTACTTTTCATTGTCTCTGATGTTTCTGCGGTCTATTTTCTGGATGTTCAATCTCTGGCTCTGTTACCATTGTATCTGTACCCTTCATTATAACACGTTTCATTAGCCAGCTCTAAATCCACTGTCCATATGGTAAATGGTTATTATACACAATGATCGACAAACAGCAATCTGCCCAATTCTTCAGCTAGCAACAATTTCAATGACATTGTTTAACACATTTCCATGGCAACTGTGCTACTGTTAACTTTTCAGTATTACCTTCTGTTAACTTTTCAGTATTACCCTTTGTTAACTTTTTAATATGACTCTTTGTTAACTTTCCAATACTTTGGGAGGGGGGGGGGGAGGGTTTAACTTATCAGTATTATTTTTAGTTAACTTCCCAGTATTACCTTTTGTTAACCTTTCTTAAACTTTTCAATATTACCCTTTGTTAAGTTTTCAGTATTACCCTTTGTTAACTTTTCAATATTACCTTCTCCTCAATCTCAGCTTCTGAATGAACAACCTGCTCCAGCTCCTTTTTCATTTTAGTCACATTTGTCTCCACTTTTGGCACTTCCTCCTCCAAACGTTTGATGTCCCTGAAGTTACAATTACATAAAAAAAATTATCAGGAACATGAACCTTCTTAGAAAAATATAATTCATGTCCTCATGGAGTGACCACATATTAGATAAGTTAACAGAGTATCATCAGCTCCTAGCGTGTCGTAAAGTGGACTAATTCATCATCATCAGCAGGTGCCTTGCTGACTGGCGTGGGTGAATTAGAGGTTCTTTTGAAGTTGGTCGCATCTACCTCAGAAGCGAGGAACCAACAGTCTGCATACAAACATGCCAAATCTATCAAACAGTGACCTAGTAACAGATAAGTTAGTCAACAAAGTATCTTAGGTTCTTAGCATATCGTAAAGTCGACTAATAAGGGGCTCTTTCGGAAGTTGAAAAGCATCTACCTCAGAAGCAGGGAACCAACACTCTGCATACAAAAAAATTTAAAATGTGTGTGCACAAAACTCAAGTTCTGGAGCAAGGCTAAATCCAGAAGTGGACAAACAGCCAGAACTTCAAGCTGGGTAGAGTGCAAGGTGCTCAGAAAAGCATAACGTGGTAAACAACTTCAATAAATGCAAATACAAAATCTTGAAGAACTAGAACCCAGAGGAGCAAAGAAATTATAAATAAAGGCAGACACCCCCCCCCCCCCCCCCCCCTTTAAAAAACATGTAACATTGCGAGTCGCTGGGTCACCACTCACTGTTGACTGTCTGATCAGCACCTTCTACCTTTGACGGTAAGATGTGGTGGACTTCATGGCTGCATGCCTATACAGTCAGTGAAGTACTGTATCTAGGTATTTCTTAGTCTGTCTCTTTTCCTCTTTCCCTCTGCTGAGCCCTGCAGTGCTGTTTTTCAGAGGCTGTTAGATATTTTTACATGTCCATTCCATTGTATTTTCCGCCTTTTCACTGTAGTTAAAAGAGGTTCATAGTTACTATTGAGCTGGATAATTACCTGGCAAACCTCATCATTTGTGATATCAGCATGTTCTGCCAAGAATTTTCTTAAAAATTGTAATTCCACTGCTTGTAACTTCTTTTCAAGTTCAGATGTTAAGGTCCATGTTTCACAGCCAAATGTAAACATACTAACAGCTAGTGCTCTTAGCACTCAAAGCTTAATTGTAAACGAAATGTTTTCGGATCTCCATAATATCTTCTTTTTGGCAAGGACTGATGTTGATTGGGCAATCCTAGACATGATTTCTGGTCCAGATTCTAGGTCACTTAAAACCGATCCGATATATCTTAAATGTCTGATTTGTTATAATTTGTGACCCTTGACGTACATTGGTGAAGTGATGCCAGCTGGATTATTAGTCATTGCTGCACGCAACAGCAAATAATAGACCCTGGCGTTGTTGAGGGTGTATGCTCCACTGGGGTCATGAAGGGCAGAAGAAGAAGAGCTGCTTGGTACTGAAAGAGTTAAGTCTATAGATGACCACATATCTGACATACCTGTTCTAGAGGACATACATACAGACCAAATGTATTACAAATAATTAACATATAATCTTCATTAATAAAATAATATGACCTATATAAATGTCTTGTAACTGCAAATTTATGACAAATAATTAACATATAACCTTCATTAAAACATTATATGGCCAATATAAATGTCTCTATGCTGAAATTTTTTTTTTACAATCAACAAATGACCTTCATTAATAACATAATATGGCCAATATAAATGTCTCTATACAGCAAATTTATTACAAAAAAGTAACATATAACCTTCATTAATAATACATAATATGGCCAATATAAATGTCTTTATACCGCAAATTTGTTACAAACAAGTAACATATAACCTTCATTATTAACATATAATATGGCCAATATAACACCCTGTCTGCCTGCATATGTGTGGGTTTTTTTTTGTGTGTACGTAATTTACTTACTGTAATCGTTTCTCAAGAGCAGTCTCAGAATCCTGGAGGGATTTCTTCATGTCTTCTAGTTTCTTGGTCTCCGCCTGCTGTCTGCTGGTGTAGATCTCCAGCTCAGATTCGGCCACTTGCAGCTGGGAGAAGTATCAGGTTTTGTTTGGTGGTCACTGGGAGGTAACATAAATGATGTGTGTGCTAGGTATGTATGTCTGTCTGTGTGCGTGCATGTATGTATGTATGTATGTCTGTCTGTCTGTCTGTCTGTATGTATGTATGTATGTATGTATGTATGTATGTATGTATGTATGTATGTATGTATGTATGTATGTATGTATGTATGTATGTATGTATGTATGTATGTATGTATGTATGTATGTATGCCTGCATGCATACATACATATATGTATGTATGTATGCCTGCATGTATGTATGTATGTATGTATGTATGTATGTATGTATGTATGTATGTATGTATGTATGCATGTATGTATGTATGTATGTATGCATGTATGTATGCCTGCATGTATGTATGCCTGCATGTATGTATGCCTGCATGTATGCATGCCTGCATGTATGCATGCCTGCATGTATGCATGCCTGTATGTATGCCTGCATGCATGCATACATGCATGTATGCATACATGCATGCATGCATGCATGCATGCATGTATGTATGTATGTATGTATGTATGTATGTATGTATGTATGTATGTATGTATGTATGTATGTATGTATGTATGTATGTATGTATGTATGTATGTATGTATGTATGTATGTATGTATGTATGTATGCATGTATGTATGCCTGTGTGCATACATGCATGTATGCATGCATGTATGTATGCATGCATGTGGGTATGCATGTATGTATGTATGTATGTATGTATGTATGTATGTATGTATGTATGTATGTATGTATGTATGTATGTATGTATGTATGTATGTATGTATGTATGTATGTATGTATGTATGTATGTATGTATGTATGTATGTATAAGACACATTTTTGCAGTAGGTCCCAGTATTTAAAAAAAATTGTAAACAACCATCATAGGTTATTTATTGCAGCCAAAAGCAAACCACACATTTACATTGTTTTTCAACAAAGTCACCACTGACTTTAACCCATTTTTGGTATCGTGGCATTAGGTTCTTAAATCCAATTTTATAGAAGTCTGCCACCAGTATTTTAAACCACTCATTAATGCCTGTCTGCAGTTCATCATCAGTTTCAAACCAATGGGTTGCCAGATACTTCTTTAGGTGCACGAAAAGGTTGTAATCACTTGGCGCCAGATCAGGGCTGTAGGGCGGGCGATCAACAACTACCCAGTGAAATTTTTGCAACAATTAACAGTTTTATCTGCGACATGTAGTTGAGCATCATCGTGCAAAAGCCCAATTCCCATTAAAAACTGTGCCTCATACATACGAAAGGAAGCCAATAAGAAAGTCACAAATGGTTACGGGATGGCAGGAGGAAAATAGAGCTGGTGGTTTCTAAAAGTGTCATTAGGGGACATCAACATTGAACTTTATGTCTCTATTCGTGAGGTGGCGCTAGGTGTTGCATGCACATTTGCAACACAGAAAAAAAAAAGTTAATGCACTTAAGGAGTGTACCCTCAAAGAGTAATGAGGTTTGTTTTTTTTCTTTTGCATAAGGGCTGTCTGCAAGGGATATTCATAAGGAAATGCTTCCTGTTTATGCTGGCAAATGTTTATCCCGTAAAGTGGTGCATATCTGGTTAAAACAAAATTCTCAAGGATGCAGCAGTGGAATGTGAGATGAAACTGGCTTAGAAATGAGAGCATGCAGTTCAATGCAGCAGGTTTGGGAGGACTGATAAGGCTGATGGGACAGAGGACATGTAAAAATTAACATTTTTAAGTTACCGTCATCTTTTTTTTTTTTAACAACCTCTTTTGACTTACTTATTGACTTTCCCTTGTATGTATGTATTTATGTATGTATGCATGCATGTATTTATATATTTAATGTATGTATGTATCATGCATACATGTATGCTTGTGTGTGTGCATAGACATCATTTTTAGTCCTCCCATATCTAAGGACAAAAAAACCAGTACAGAGTCTCATGAAGAACATCCCTTTATACATGAGCCAACAATCTTAAACTTGATCTCACTGTGACAGAAATGATCAGACAATGGATTGATTTATGTCCTATTCTTTTTCAAACTATGCACAGACGAAAAGAGTAAAGCCCATAGAAATACAAAATAACCAGATACGAAAATAAAAGATGGAGCCACAAGTATTCTACCATGTAAATTTATTAACATCCATTTATTTATATTTACCTTAGATTTTTTGTCATTTAAATCTCCCTGCTGTTCTAGCAACTTGGCTTCCTTCACGTCTTTTTCAGCTTGCAACTCCTGAAATAAAATCACATGGTTCAAAACTGATCAGTGCTGTTCTGGCAGTGTACAAGGATATCTAACAAGCAACACACATGCAAAACAATGTCTTCCCTTTGTGAATTTAAATAATCACATAGCTCAGACATCCATGGTGATCACGGCGATTAATCTTAGACCTCTGTTGGTGAAATACAGTGTAACAAGAGACTACATGGTTGGTGTATTTCAGTTGAAAGGAGCCATTTTTTATGCTTCATTATATGTCAGATACCCTATACCTCATGGTAACCGGCTGTAAACTCTTGCAGAAAGTTCTGACTGTTCGTCCATGTCTGGAGATTAACCTTGTTCCAGAACTTAAGTTTTGCATACACATCTGTTTTACAGATCTGGCTTATTTATTGTTCCTTATGATGACAAAATAATATCAGTCATTATTTTTCTCTTTCCATAAATTGTGGCAAGCTGCCCTCAAATCTAAGCCTCTTGCAAGACATTTAGATTACTCATTTTGGCATTCTAAGTTATTTTCAGCATTCTTGTGTGAAACCATATATATATGAGGCTCTGAGGGATTCATGTCTATTAACTGTCCAGGATTCACAGCTACATGGTAAAACAGGTTCAGTGTTAGACCTATCTATATGCCTAGATACATAAAGAGTCAACAAGTATCAAGACTTCTAAACATGGTGAAGAACAGGACACCCCATCCTTGAATACACAATAAATCGCATTAAAATCTCCCTGTCTAACAGTTCCTTACCTTTGTTTCATCTTTCAGGCTGTCCATGACAATTTTCTCATTCTCCTCCTCCTTTGCTTTTGCCTTTTCCAAGTTTTCCAGCTTCTTCTTCAGATCAACACATGCCTTCTCTGCCTGCTCTGGGACAAGCTTCAGCTCCTCTATCTGTAAGTAAAACAATATTGTACATTCTGCAGCGATTTCCATGTGTGGCTTACCATGTAATGTACAGTATTTTCCACATGTGTAGCTTACCATGTAATACAGTCTGTAGTAATTTCCACATGTGTAGCTTACCTTATAATATACAGTATGTAGTAATTTCCAAATGGTGGCTTACCATGTTATATACAAACTGCAATAAGCTCCATAAGTGTAGCTTACCATGTAAAATAAATCTGCAGTAATTTCCATGTGTTGGTTACCAACATAATCTGCAGTAAGCTCTATAGGTGTGGTTTACCATGTAAAATTAATCTGCAGTAATTTCAAAATGTGTGGTTTACCATCTAATATACAATCTGCAATAATTTCCATGTGTTGCATAGGAGCTGTCACACAGAGGGTTATCAGGTACTATACAATAAGCGGTAATTGTTGTATGTGTTGGTTACCAGCAACATCTGCAGTAATTGTGCGGCTCATCATATAATACACAATATGCAGTAATTTTCATGTGTGTATCGTCAAATAACATTCATTCTGATTTAAAGACTTGCTTTAGCATGGACTCTTACACGACCTCTGAGCGGAAAAAGGGGAGTTTTTGAACCCAAATGACTCTGTGCAGGTTCCAGGGTCCCAGTGTGGGTAAAACAAAATAAACCCACCACCTCCTAACAAGCAGGTCGTAAGAGTTGACTAATTGGGTGTTTCTTTCAAAGTGAGAGTCCACCTGCCTGGGATGAAAAGAACCAACAGTCTGCATACAAAAAAGCCAGATCTGTCAGATGTTCATGCACAAATCAAGTTTTAGAACAAGGTTTAAGTCCAAAAGTGGACAAACAAGCAAATCTTTCCACAAAAGTTTACAGCTGGTAAACACAAAGCAAAAAAGAACTGAAGTGCTATGAAAACATTCTTAAAGCATTCTCTCCCGAGGGCTGAGATATTTTGGCTGTGTTAAACAACATGGCAGCCTGGAGAGAACAGCGATGGAAGGTGCAGTTTCAGGAAAATGAGACAGAGACCGACAGCCATGATGGTGGATACAAGACATTGAAGATGCATTAGATGATAGCACACTTGGCTGGAGAAGTGGCTAGAGAAAGAGAGACTATTAGGTGAGTGGTAGAAGGGGATATTATGTAAAGGACATGTCGACTAATGATCACTCTACATGTGTGGGTTACCATGTAATATACAATCTGTAGTAATTTCAATACAATCTGCAGTAATGTCTATAATTGTTAGAGAGAGAGAGAGAGAGAGAGAGAGAGAGAGAGAGAGAGAGAGAGAGAGAGAGAGAGAGAGAGAGAGAGAGAGAGAGAGAGAGAGAGAGAGGTTAGGGAAAGAGACGTGAAAGGAAGAGAGACAGATGGGGAGAAAAAGCAAGAGAATTTAATCAATATTATTTGTACACCTGTGATCCCATCCCACAAAGTGGAATAATCAAAATAAGTGAGACAAATAAAGGCTATAATATCAACAAGGCCAGACATGACTCAATGTTTAGAATGACTGATGAACGCAGAAGAAGAAGAAGAAACAAGGCACACAATGCTCTCATTCATGCAACGCATGTTTGAATTTTTGGTATATTATGGATTTTACCTCCAAAGGAGCTAAAAAAAAAAAAAAATCCTAACCCGCAGCTTATGACGACTGCACTAGTTGCATGGCCCTAAATCCTCAGTTCTAGCCTTCCCTATTTGGTAAACAGAGACAGTAAAGTGATCTTCTTCTTCTTCTTCTTCAGCATTCTGAGCTCTTGAGGTTCATTGCTGCAGATATCACCCGCCTCCATTCATCTCTCTGGTTGGTCTCCTCTTTCCAGTTGGTGACACCAAGTGTTTGCAGGTCTGTCTGGACATTATCTCTCCATCGTCTTCTTGGTCTGCCACGTAGTCTACGACCATTAATCTCCCTTGTGTATACTGTTTTCACTTCTCTCTCATTTGAAATTCTCTCAATATGCCCCAACCATTTCAGTCTATAAGATCTCATGATGTCAGTGATCCATGGTGATTTAAATAGATTATGAATTTCGTTGTTGCTTCTCACTCTCCATTTCCCGCAGTTTGCATCTTTGATGGGTCCAAAAATGTGGCATAAACTCTGTTTTCGAAAACCTGTAATAAGGCTTCATCTCTTTTAGTTGTGCTCCAAGTTTTAGAACCATATAAAATGACTGTTCTCATCAATGTTTTATATATTCTGATCTTGGTGTTGCGAGACAGATACTTTGACTTTAGCAGATGTTTAAGGGCATAGTATACTTTATTTCCAGATTTTATTTCTTCTCTCAGCATGCTGGAGCAGTTGAAGTTTGCACCCAAGTACTAATAGTGATATTATTTTTATGGAAATGGAAACTTTACTGACTTTACTAGTTTCTGATTCTAGAAGTTTCTCCAGCTTCTTCTGCTTGGCCTTATTGAGTTTGATGTCCTCCTGGCACTTGGCATCTTGACTCTCCATCTCTGAAAATTTCTCCTTGCTGTCTTCACAAGCTTTCAGCAATTTCTCGTACTCCCTGTGTGAGAGAGTTACCAGTTTCAAATATAAGATATGGGACAGACAACAGAAAAATGAAACTAAAATAAGTAACAAAAGGCCAGCAATGTTAAACCCTGTGTATGAGTGTAGCAATGTTACATCTGTAACTTCCATAAGTTACTGTAATTTTACATCAATTTTTTGTCTGGGGTTACCTGTGCCCGAAAATGGCAAAAAGGACTGTTGCGTCACAGCAACCAAAAAAAAGCTGGAGGCAGGAAAATAAGTACAACCATGTGCCAGAGGTGTGTGTGAAGCTGAACAAGTTAAAGGTTAGAGAAAAACCTGGCCACCTGGATTGTGGGCTGACACTCCCACCTTGGTAAAATGTCATTTCAACAAGAAACTTAGGTATCTAAGCCATGATTTCAGATACACAGAAAAAAATGGAGGCGAGTGATAACTGCAGTAATAAACCTCTAGGGCTCCATATGCTGAAAATGACTGCAGTCAAAATAAGTAATCCAGATGTTTTGAAAGAGTTTAAAACCAGAATATTTCTTATCACAAACATTAGAAAGAGGCAGTCATCATGTTTAGCTACATTATGAAAACAGTAAACTGAATGGAAAGATAGATAAGGGAAAACAAAGAGAGATTTCTGACAGCCTTCTGTCATGGCATAGAAGGATGTCCACACACAGCTTGAGATCGCAAGATGCAGAGAAGTATAAAATCTCCCACACCAGTTGACAAAGCACTTGATGATGATGAAGAAAAAGGTGGCTAATCAAAGTGCTATCTCTAAGTACCCATATATCTATTCATGTATGTACGTATATTAATTCTGCATAGTCACAGTATCTATAGGGACCATACAACCAGAACTGAGCCTCATGGCACCCAAGGTTGAGACACACAGTCTCAGTAAATTCAATAGCAAACATACGTAAATCAAATTTATAGATGCCCATCTCAGTTGTGTGTGCAGCTGCTGATCTGTTGTAACTGCTGCTTCCATTTAAATGTATGTCTAGTGTCAGACTGTTTGTGTTGGACCTTCTCACGGCTAACCTCATGCATTTAATGCATTATGTATGCTACTGGGTTTTGCTGAGACTGCAGTCTGTCATTTTTCCACAAGAGACAGTGATGGACATTCTGTGTGGTTTTCATCGGCCCTAAGGCTGAGTAACTATGGAGCGACCAGTTGGCTATAAAGTCGGAACTGCAGTTACCTGATTACTATGTATTCAAGACAGGTAAAGGGATCCTCACAACCACCAATTGAACCTCAACAATGGTGACAACAAACAACAATTCTCAGCTTACTTTTTCACTTTATTGTATTCCCCAGTCTTCTGGACTTTGCTGTCTTGGATACTCCTAAGTTTATCATTGAATGACTGAAGCGCTTCTTTTATTTTGTTGTACTCCACTTGGGCCTTGCTGTCAATTTCTGTACACTCCAAGCTAGATTGAAGACAGCAAGCAGACAATAATGAACTACAGAGACAACACATTTAAATAAATCAGTAACAAGCAACAACTCCGCTAAGACCGGTCCCAAGCCCGGCTGTAAAAGGAGGAGGGTCTGGCTGAACCTGAGTGCTTCATGCGTCTCCGGAAGTAGTGGGTAACCGTGAATCAGCCAGACGGCCTGCATGGAGGCCGCAAGGAGGCAGCCCCTCCACCATGCAAAGGCACAACAGGCCAATCACCTGTTTGCCTTAAACCACGATTACAAGTAACTACAGAGAGAAAACCGGACGGATCTTAACGGCGACGAACTGGCATGGCTTACGGACTACGATTTATGGAACATGGAATATAAGAGGCATTAACGGAAAGGAAAACGAGTTAGTAGGGGAGATGAGGAAAGCAAAATTAGGAGTCTTGGCTCTGACTGAAACCAAGAAAAAGGGGCAAGGAATCACAGATCACGATGGAAGTATGCTGCTCTACAGTGGTGTCCCTATGACGGAGAGAGCCAAGGGAGGTGTTGGCTGTATTGTGGCCAGGAATCAAGTTAGTAACATCAAGGGATGGAAATTCATCTCAGAGCGAATAATGGTGTTAGATCTGAAAGAAGAAGATAAAATTGTCAATTTTGTCATTGTGTACGGGCCAAATGAAGATGAGCGAGTAGATGTTAAAGAAGAATTCTTTGAACTGCTCCAAAAGACCATAGATGACTGTCACGATGAAATTATCCTCCTAGGAGATCTAAATGCCAGAGTAGGAAATGATCACTCTAGATGGGGTGGAGTGATCGGGAGATATGGTGAAGATGTTTTGAATGATAATGGCAAGCGACTTCTCAGATTCTGCAGGGAACAGAACCTTGTCATTACAAACACAAAATTCCCCCACAAGCGTATACATGCATACACAAGATGTGAACCTTCAAAGAATGAAAAATCCATCATTGACTACGCCATAGTTAGGAAAAGTTCATTCAAGTTTGTGAGAGATGCCAGAGTCATGAGAGGACCAGAGATTGGAAGTGACCACTATCTGGTCACAATAAAGAGAACAATTGAAAGAACTGCTCCAACAAGGCAACACCGACAACTATGCAAGAAACCAAGCAACCAAGAAGGGATGAGGATTAAAGCATACAAGCTAAGAGAGCCAGATATTAAGGCTAGATACCAGGAGCTTATAGTGAAAGCAATAGGAACTGAAGAAGAATCATCAGAGGACACTGAAACTCTCTGGTGCAGATTCAAGAATATCCTCACAGCAGCTGCAGTAGAAGCATGTGGTGAAGTCCCAAGTGGAAGGCGGGGACACAGGACACCTTGGTGGACAGAAGAAGTCAAATTGAAAATAGGAGAAAAGAAAAGGGCATGGAAGCAATACCTGGCAGCCAGGAACACAGCTGAAGAAATAGAAAAAATAAACAATATGTGGCACTCAGAACAGAGACCAAAAATATTGTGCTTAAAGCAAAACAGAAATCATGGGAAGAGTTTGGAGAAAAGTTGGAAAAGAATGCAAGAGAAAACCAAAAACTGTTCTACAAGACCCTTAAGAACATGAGGAAGGAGAAAGAGTGCCCACTTAAATTCATAAAAGACAAGGAAGGGGCTCTGCTTACTTCTACAAATGATATCATGGGCAGATGGAAAGAATACTTCTCAGAGCTCCTCGGCGCTGAGGGAAGTCATGACCCAGAAATAATGGACCTCACTGCTGAGAAGGAATTCAATCATGGGGAAGATAACATCAGGATGGAAGAATTGAAGGCAGCTATTGAGAAGATTAAGCTGGGAAAAGCAGCAGGTCATGATGGTATAACACCAGAGATGGTCAAATATATGGGAGTCGAAGGTGAGCGCCTTCTACTGAAGGTTCTCCAGGCAGCCTGGTGTAGCAAAACTATACCAAAAGATTGGGAGATTGCCATCATTATACCTATATTTAAAAAAGGTGATAACAGACAATGTGAAAACCACAGAGGCATATCCCTCCTCAGCATTCCCGGTAAAAGTTACTCTAGAATTCTTGAGCAGAGACTTAGAAGTCTGGTAGAGCCACAGCTGGACGAGGCCCAGTGCGGCTTCAGAGCAAACCGAAGTACTCAAGACCTTATCTTCACACTGAGACAGATGAGTGAAAAAGCCCTGGAATATAAGAGTGAGATTCACTTATGTTTTTTGGATCTGGAAAAGGCATTTGACAAGGTACCCTGGAACAAGCTCTGGGACTGCTTGGCAGGGAAAAACATCCCAGCACCCCTGATCAGTGCAATACAGAGTTTCTACAAAAAGTGCAGAAATTATGTAAGAACAGCAGACCAAAAGTCAGAAGAATTTAAGACCACCAGCGGTGTTAGACAAGGTGATATTCTCTCACCTTACCTCTTCATTCTTATGATGGATGATGTCATCAAGACCTGTAAGGAGAAGACAAAGAAGTACTCTGTAGGGTACTGGAAGATGAGACCAATCTGTATATCAGAGCTGGCTTTTGCAGACGATGTGGCCCTGATAGCTAAATCAGAGGCACACCTTCAGTACAACTTACTTGTCTGGAAGGAAGAGCTTGAAAAGAAAGGGATGACCATCAGTGTCTCCAAAACTAAAACCATGGTGATCTCAAGAGAGGAGAAGAAACACCAGATCATGATGGGTCAGTATGCGTTGGAGCAGGTTAACCAGTTCAAATACCTTGGAGTTGTATTAGACCAAAATGGAGGCATTAAGACTGAGCTGGCTACACGAAAAGCAGCTGCTGGGAGACTCTTCCAGGCCATAAACCGAGGGTTTCTTAGCAAAAGAGAAATTGGCAAGAGGACGAAAATGGCTGTTTACCGCTCTACCTATGTACCAGTCCTGACCTATGGGTGTGAGTCATGGGCAATGACAACAGCTCACAGAAGCCAGCTGCAGGCCTCGGAAATGAGATACCTGAGAAAGGTGGTCCAAGTGACAAGAAGGGACAAAGTCCGCAATCAGACAATACGTCAAGATCTTGATACCCAGCCCTTACTAACCCGAGTGGATCAGTCACAGTTACGATGGTTTGGACATGTGTGCAGAATGGGAGAAAATCGGCCACCATGGCAAGCATGGGAGGCTAAGAACCAGGGAACCAGACCTCCGGGACGACCCAGGGTGCGCTGGGAAGACAACATCCGACAGTCCCTGACTGACAGAGGACTGGAATGGAACAAAGCCAGAAAGAAAACTGCTGATAGAGACGTTTGGCGATCTCTCTGGCAAACCTCTACACCCCAAGGTAGAAGAGGAGCGACTAAGTAAGTAAGTAAGTAACAAGCAACTCACCTTGCTAGCTCTGTACATGGAATGCTTTTTTTTTTTTGGGGGGGGGGGGGGGGGGGGAGGAGGAGGAGGGTGTCTGTGCATCTTATTTAGGTGTTACATTATTTCACCCTATTCCAAATGTTATATTAACTCTTTCTTACCAATAATAATATTATGGGAAGTCACTTACAACTAAAATTTTCAGTAGCAGCTGCTTAAATAGATTAACTTTTTATGTAAGAAACAACTTTCCAAGCGTTACTTGGTCATGCCAAGGATTATATAATGTTCTAGCCGTCTTCCATCAAAGACATTATACCAACCCTTATACTTTAAATACTTCCGTCCTATAGTGTTCTGGTTAGCTTCTTCAGGCCTTAGTGTTGTTGTTTTAGCTCTCCTTAGGAGAGAAGAGGTTTTGGTAACCACAGGCTGAGACTCAAAGTTTAAACAAAACCAGATGGGAATGAAAGCATTAAAGTTAACTTTTCCACTTTCATTTAAAGCAACCCTTATTTGTTCGCCAGCTCTGGCAGAAAGTCCTGGCGGTTCGTCCATTTGGACTTTGGCTTTGAGCCAGGGCCTGAGCTTTGTGTGTACATCCCTTTTACTGACTTATCTGTATGCAGTTGGTTGTTTCTTGCCACTCAGGCATATGTACTCCGACTTCGAAGGAAGTCATCACTATTTTAGTCAAAATTAGTCGACTCCTACGACATGCTTTTTGGAGCGGCAGTGCATCTATTCTTGTTTTCCCTACATTGGGGCCTTAGAACTCACTGAGGAATTTAAGCAATCCAATAACAAATACCTTATTGTCAAGTTTCCCACCATTTTACATAAAAAGATGGTTTTCAGATTACAAAATGTTTTAATAAACAAATGTATGACAAGCTAGATATTGTAAGGGCCATCGGGGAGTGTGTTAACGATGCGGAGACACAAATAGATCATCCCGGTCTGAAGAGAATGGTGTAGCAAGGCGTACCCACCAGATCTAGTCGATTAGCATTCAAGGCAGGGGCGAGATGGAAATACAATCAGACACTGTTACTGGTACCATCAGAACTTAAACTCTGCTCTTGCTGCTGAAGATAAGGATGTAGCTCTGATGGGACTGTCTAAATGCTACGATGTTGGTTCTCAACTCACAACTTGATCTAGAAATCTGAACAGCTCCTTCGTTGGGTATGAATAGATGAACTAATGAATCAAGAACTGACAAAACTGCACTTGGGACATTCCCACAACATGCTCCGTCCTCTTCTTCAGTAGCTTTTCCCCTTCAATGTTTCAGTAAGTAAAATCTTGTTAACATGAATTCCAAGGAAATTAAAAATCAACAAGTTTGTGTTTAAAAAAGTTCAAGAGATTTTACTGTATTATCATTAAGTATTTCTATTCCCTGCAACTTGGCACCAGAAAATGCTGAGCATGTGCTCCAACACTGTCAAATGTATGATGCCAAAAAAGAAGCAATCTGGCCTGTTCCAACCATAATGAAGACAAAAAGACTGTACGGTACACCAGGAGATATGAGCCGCATAATAGCTTTCGTAAAGGCTACTAGCGTCCTGATATAAGTTTTCTGACAGAAGGATCGAAGAAGACAGCTGAGGTTGTGTAATTATTCTTTGGATGGTAACAAGTGAAGGACACACACACACTTAACCTATCAAATGCCAAATAGTATACAACAATACGCGGGTTAGGAACATATAAGAAAATGTTGCTCGCCTGCCTTGCTAGCCTAAAGGATTTAAATCCACATCAAGGCAGATTTTTCAATTTCTAACTTAACCTTGGCTCCCGGGCTGACACAGCCAAAAATGTACACAAAGTGACATCCTGGGAAATAGAGGCACCCGGCATGATGTTGACAACATCATCTGAGTGCCCACTGATCTATTATAAAAAATAACAATGTGCCACACTGGTGTTTTTTTTTGGGGGGGGGGGGGGCGTGGTGTTCGTTACTTACGTTTTACTTACCATACAAGAAAAACTTAAGGCCAGAAAAAGAACGACTTAATTTATGTGTATGAAAATGAGTGTATCATGTAAGTATGGATATAGGTATGTGCATACATCTGTAATTCTGTATATTACAAACATACATATGCACACTACATCAAACTGCCAGCATTGAAACAGTAAATGAGATATCATACTCACATATACTTCTGAAAAAGTTTGTTCTTCAGCTTCATAACAGCATTCTCCATGTTCAGATATTCAACTGCCTCGTTCTTGGGACCCTCCAAACTTTCCATTTCCTTCTCCACAGCTTTGACTCTGTTGAGCTAGAATAGGACAGAAACAGGCACACTCCAGCCAGCACTTTCATACTCAAGGTAGCCATGGGTATCATTTCTTCTTATTACAATGCATTTTACAAAGTAGTACCTTATAACCTACTTTTTGCAACCTCCAGCTGTTTTTATATGGACAACTTTCGCATGGAACCTTCAATTTGTGCGTGTGTGTGCTTCTATCAAAAAGGCCAGGTATTCAGTTCTATTCATTGAAAAAAATATTCAACATATGCTTAGTTAATATAAATTTCTGTAACCTATGGGCAATTTCAATGATTTGAAATGAATTCTGTCTGTATTGCATAGTTGAGGATTTCAACTGTACGATAGACATGGCCAATAAGACACCTCTGGGGGGTTGGGGGGGGGGGGGGGAGAGAAAGAAGGGAATGTACCTATTTGACCATGTTCTTAATGCACTTGTATCCATAGTGAGGCGCACACGCCATCTGGAGGTGACAGGTTCAATTCCTGGCATGGTAAATATAGCTTTCGATTTTTATATTGTCTAGTGTGTTCTTTTATCTTTCTACTTCTTTCTATGAGTGCCAATCAATACATTTTCTGTTACTGTATTATTATATTCATAAATAAGGGAATGTGTCATATTAACAGTAGAAGAGAAATGGAACAAATGTTTGAGGTAACTCAGCAGAAGAGATGCAACAGTTCAACAGCCACATTCCCGCCATGTGTTCCTGCTTCTGTAAGCCCAACACAGCCGACTTCAGCAAACCCTTTACTGGTCACTTTGTATGACATGCTTGTAAGTGGCAGTTGGCCTATCACCCAACCCACCAAATAGGGCTCCAGAACCCAAACATGGATTAAGGATTCTCAGAAGAGAGATGGAGAAGATACATCATGCAATTAACAATATGCCTTCAGACACTGTTGGGGCAGTGGTGGCTCAGTGGCTAGACACTTTCTTGTCCACCTAAAGATCTTGTGTCCAAATCTGCTTCAGGGCAGATTTTCAGAATTGACATAGGGATATCAGGTCGGATGAGCCTAAAATTGGCATCATGAAATGTTCTGGGAAGTAAAGGTGGCTGGCATGGTTTTGGCCACACCCCCCATCAAGTTTCAACTGGTCTATAAATATATAGAACTCGTACCATATGTCCGGGGAGCCACCGTAGTGTAGCAGCTAGATGCTCACCTGCGGATCCAAATTTGTATTCAAACATGATTTGGGTTCCAAATACCCAGCTTTAAATGGGTACGAGGTGAAGTCCTGGAAATAAAGGCAGCTGGTCAGACATTGCATAACAAAGATGATAAACATGTACCAGTCAACTAAATTCACTAGTTACCTTCTCTGAACGTAATTCATTCAGTGTATCCACACGTTTGCTCAAAGTCTCAATGGGCTGCTTAAACCTGTTTGAACCAATGATATCCTCCAGAAACTCAAGCATGCCTTCCTCGTGCTCTGTCAGAGCTTTGGGCTTCATCATAGCTATCTGCTCTACTTCGCCCTGGAATGAGAAAACAAACGACAGTAATGTGATTATCTTGACAAAGAGAAGGCAGTTGACAACGATATTCTTATCTTGATAAGACAAGTGACAACCATGTGGTTATCTTAATAAGGAAAAGGCAGGCAACAACCATGTAGAAATCTGGACACAAAGACTAGGAACAATGATGTGGTTATCCTAATCAGGAGAAGACTAAAAACAATGATGTGGTTATCATGACAAGGAGAAAACACACCAATAATGTGGTTATCATAACAAGGAGAAGACTGGTGACAACCATGTGATTATCTTGACAAGGACAGTGGTGACAACTATGTGGTTATCTGGACAAGAAGGTTGGCAACAACCAAGTGGTTATCTTGACCATGAGAAGACTTACAACAACCATGTGGTTATCTGGACAAGGAGAAGACTGGCAACAACCATGTGGTTATCTGGACAAGGAGAAAATTGGCAACAACCATGTGGTTATCTGGACAAGGAGAAGACTGGCAACAACCATGTGGTTATCTGGACAAGGAGAAGACTGGCAACAACCATGTGGTTATCTTGACCATGAGAAGACTGGCAACAAACATGTGGTTATCTGGGCAAGGAGAAGACTGGCAACAACCATGTGGTTATCTGGGGAAAGAGAAGACTGGAAACAACCATGTGGTTATCTGGACAAAGAGAAGACTGGCAAAAACCATGTGGTTACCATGGTAAGGAAAGGCAAGCAACAATCATGTGATTATCTTTACAAGAAAAGGTGGGCAACAACCATGTGGTAACAAGAAAAAAGAAGGCAACCATATTGTTGACAAGAAAACATGTGACAACAATGTAGTTATCTTAAGCAGGAAAGGACAGGTGACAACCATGTTGTCTTGACAAGACTAATTCCCAGGCTCTCCATACCACAATATATTTTCATCTGGGAAGATAGAAAAATGTTTTTAAAAAACTTATTCGTACCCTTATGTAAGTGTGAACAATACATTACACAGGTAATAAAAAAAAGGAGCTCTTGTCTCATCCAAGGCTTTTTTACTTCAACTTTTTCATTTCAATTACCTCAGGCCGTGAATAAGATATTAGAGATGCTGATAGATATAAAGAAAAGCAAAGAACAAGCTCGAACATCATTTTGTGAAATTAAGAGCTTTTAAGCAACAAGTCTTCTTACTGACAATTAGATAAAGAATTCATGCATCTTGCTTAAAACCAATTTTTAAAAATGGCTGCAAATTCTTGACATCAATAAACATACAAACAAAATCCCCTTGAAACCACATACATATTTCTTTTAAACCGAAGATTGTGAAATTTCTCGAAAAAATAAAATCATCACGTGCTGTGCCAAAAAGCATAGGCTATGTTTTTCATCTTACATGATCACCAGAATAACTGATCAGATCAATGTTCTTGTCTTGCTTCATACATGTATAGTGGGAAAGGCACCAACTAACAAGAATGGTAAAACTAAACAGGCCAAGAATGATATAAGCCGGATGATAGTATGAATGTATTTTGAGTTTTCCCACCAAAGAAAAGGAATCGACAAGTCTTCTTTTCCTTGTGAAGACTGTCCACAGTACAAAGCAGAGTACTCATGTCTACTCCCGACTTGATTGCCTTATGAAGTGCTATTGCATAGTAACCACTAAACAGAAGATAGTGGCTATATTACTGTATATTTTTGAAACACGTTAACAAAATATAGTACTTTAAATATCTAGCTACCGATAACAGATTTTTGTATCAATAGAGACACTGATTCCTGCAAATTTTTTTTTTCAATGCATGCCCTTAAAATTAAAAGCACAGTTGGCATGTTTTGTGGTTTACAGCCAGACTGCATAGTAACCACTAAACAGAAGATAGTGGCTATATTACTGTATATTTTTGAAACACGTTAACAAAATATAGTACTTTAAATATCTAGCTACCGATAACAGATTTTTGTATCAATAGAGACACTGATTCCTGCAAATTTTTTTTTTCAATGCATGCCCTTAAAATTAAAAGCACAGTTGGCATGTTTTGTGGTTTACAGCCAGACTGCGATATCCATGTCTTACAGCCAAATACACCTGATTTCAGCAAACCTCTAATTAGTCACCATTTTCTGACATAATTATTGGGGGCAGTGGGTCTAACACCCCCCCCCCCCCTCCCCTTCCAGGGTACAGAAACCAGAACAGGGACTGCAACAATATATTTCACTAGGCACTCAAACATTCTTCTTCTTCTTCGTGTTCACCAACTGTAAACTCTGGCAGAAAGTTCTGGTTGTTTATCCACATCTGGACTGCAGTCCTGTTCCAGAACACGAGTGTTGTGTGTGCATCCGTTTGACAGATCTGACTCATTTGTATGAAGACTGCTGGTTCCTTGCCTCTCAGGCAGATGCACTCCGAATTCGAAGGAAGCTTCCAATTAGTCGACTCTTACGACATGCTTTTAAGTAGGCAGTGGGTCTATGGCCCCAGAACTCACACAGGGTGACTCAAACATTAAAATTCCATACTTGCATACCTGCAAAATCAGAAATCGGTTGTGGTCCAAGTCGATTCCACTACTTCTAAGTACTTGAGCCACCTCTTTGTAGGTGACTTTCTTCCCGTCCAGGTAATAGCACGAGGTGTTGTCTCTGAAGGCCGACCTGGACACTACAAAATGGGAGTCAGGGACCACGGTGTAGTCTTCATCTCCCACCTGTATGAATGATGGGATCTTAGGCACCAAACACAATTTAGGACATACCTAATTAACAAAAGCCAGAAAGAAAAACTGCTGACAAAGATGTCTGCCGATCTCTCTGGCAAACATCTACACTCCAAGGTAGAAGAGCAGCGACTAAGTGAGTAAGTTAACTAATATACAATATAGAAGTATTTATGGACTAATACTCAACATACAAGCATATATAACATATACAATATAGAAGTATATATGGACTAATACTCAACATACAAGCATATATAACATAACTGTCAATTATCTGACACCTTGGACAGCTAAAGTGGGTAGCCTTTTCAGGGACTAAAACACAAAAGTGAGCTAAAGGAGTAATCTTTATGTTTATGAGCAGCAGCGAGAGAAGGGTTTTTATCTGCTATGCTGACAAATATTGTACATACTGCTACAAACAAGTCAGTGTCCATGATCACACTACATTTATAAATAATATCTGATATAATTATTACTAGTAAGAAGTATAAGGTAAAATACTATAAATATTCACAAATAAATACACAAAACATAAATAAAAAGACAAATAATAGTCTAATTGAAATAAAAAGACAAATAAGTGCAAAGACAGAAACAGTATACAGATAAATGAATATACAGACAAATTAGCACACAGGAAAATATATAAGTTGGGGATGTGAAGTGAGATGTTCTAGGTATGTTACTAAAAATATATGTAAGCAAATAAATAAAAATATCCAAGAAACATACATTTTAGAAAATACAAATTCATAGCCAAATAAATAGACCAATAAACACGATATGTGTATATTTATGTGTGTGTGAAAACAAATAATTTGTATGACCCCCAAAAAAATTATAATTAAAATCAAATAAATGCATAGACAGATAACTGTAAACACCAAAAAAAAAAAAAACAGAAAGACAAATAAATCTAATGACAAATAAAAATACAAATTTATATAGACAAATAAATAAAAATACAAATGAATACATTGACAAATTCAATTTGTCTTAACACAAATAATACCAATATACAAGCATATATAACATATACAATATAGAAGTATATATGGACTAATACTCAACATACAAACATATATAACATATACAATATATTATATATATATATATATATAAATATATATATATAAAGACAAATAAGTAGGATGACAAATTAATATACAGACAAACAGAACAACAAACAAATACAAAGACAACAGAAAAAAAAACGAACCCCTGTATCAATGATCTTCTGGAAGTGGACAGCAACAGAGCAACTGTCCAGGTTCTGGTGTTTTTCACTGTTGTGAATCAACACACTAATTTTCTTGGAGCGGATCTTGTTGGCACGGTAACCAAACACAAACAACATGGAGTCAATCACATTAGACTTGCCACTTCCATTAGGACCAATGATGGCTGTAAAATTCTGTCGTGGAAGATATGATTATGTATGCTTTTAACCCTTTGGCATCGGAAGGTATTTTAAAAAAAATCTGCAACACGTAACTTGTCAGAAATGGTATTTATTTCAGTTATAATTCCCATAAAAAATGCTAGAAATCCTTAATTTTCAGTAATAAAATTATTAGCACTAGGTAATTTGTGGAGGTCAAAAGAAATTAAAACTATTACTAAACTAAAAAATTTTGTATTCTTATGTCAAATTAGTGCTGTTGTATGGAATAAAACATGGAGAACAACTGAGGAAATTAATAATAAACTACAAACATTCATTGACTGGTGCCTGCTCAGACTAGAGGGATTTCAATGCTATGACAGAATCACTAATGTAGAGCTTTGGGAGAGAAATAAACAAGTTCCAGTAGACCAAGAGGTGAAGAAAAGATGCTGGCGTTGGATAGGACACATGTTGAGAAAACCTGAGAACAATATAACTAGAATGTCTCTGCACTGGAACCAACAGCGGCATAAAGGAAGACCAAAAAATACAGGGAGAAGGGAGCTAGAGAGTAAAGTTAAAAAGACTGTGGGCTAGAAAGACAAAAAGAAGAATAAAAATGTGTAAATAAAGTTATAGTAAGAATAAAGATAGCAGTGTGTAGGTGTCAGTGGATGTGATCACCTATACCAATGGCTCTGTATTAACAAGCAAATGGACACTGCTTAAACAGGGCAACAACAAGCTGACAGGGTCAGGCAACATCTTTCTGATGTGCATAACGGTGCCCTAAAACCCGTGCCAAGATCACCAAAATGTCTTCAACATGGAGGTTACAACTATCAAGTCTAGACACTGCAATGGCAGAGTTCCTAAGTCTCTTGAAAACCCCCTTAGCTATCTAATGGAATCCAACTCGCCTAGTTCAACATAGTTTATCAAAAATTATGTTAATTACAGCCCTTGCCAGCCACTAGTTTTTTTTTTCTGCTTAGTATTAATTTCTTGTATTCACAAGTGTCTCACAACTTCCTCTTGCCAGACGGACATGTGGATTTTTCTTGGAGAGAATTTCGTTCAATGATTTTGTATATTCTTATCTTTAATTGTAGCGCTCTGTGATTGTGATATTGTGAAACTAACTAGTTCGACTTTTCATTTGGTTTGATATCTCATTGAAAGCCTGATCTTGTTACATATACCAAGAAACTATCTATACATACCCGATGAAAAGGACCAAGTTTCTGAATACCAACATAAGATTTGAAATTCTCATTGACAATCTGTGTGATCATAAGTCTCGGGCCCATTTGCAGCATATGTTGCCACTGCCTGGACAGCATCAGGCACCTCAACTGGTCCATAGTCTGAACAGAAAGAAGAATGTCACTGCTCAGTTAACATAATTTACTTATAAAAGTTATGCTAAACTGTAAGTGTGTGCATATCTGATCATTCACATCCTACCAAAATTATTAAAATTTGCAGAAGCAATGACAATTAAGACACACAATCCTGCTTATGTAAATGAAAGAATCACATCATTAATCTCATACATTAATGGTGATCCAATGATTAATCTTGGACTTTGGTTGGTAGTTTGTACAGCATGAAAAGAGACAGTTTGATATGAGCATTTCAGCTGAGAGGATTTATATGTTGTGTTTCTTTATGTGGTGATGTAAACTCTGAAGTAATGCACCTGACAAGATGAATTGAAATATGCAATAAATGGTACAATATATTGTTTGTATAATTATTTAAGTCCAGCATTTTTCTTTATGTTTGCCTCTTCTACATTCGGTGTACGTCAATTAGTCATATGCCAGCGATAGTACAATCCCCTAGGAAGCAGCCAGAGCACACTAAAAGAACAAAGTTGCAGGTATGGGATTCATCCAGGATTTGAACCCGGGACCTCTCTCATGTCCAACATTTTGCAATGGCACTCCTTTAAGTACATGAGCAAAGAGCTCTGTTTTTTTTTTTGCCAAACTACATAATGATTTATGTATAATTTCCAACTTCCAGGCAGTGATTATTTACACTGGCTGTCAAAAATATCTGCAAACTGTCTCAGAAACTACACTCCCCCCCCCCCCCTGTTAATTCACAAACAAGATTCACCGCCTTGCAGTAGAATAGGCCCAGCCTAATATTTCAGCATTCTGTTTCCTAACATTATTACCAGCAGATCTGATAGTCATGTCTGTCTGGTACAGTAAAAAGTGTCATCAGAATCAACACTATAAACTGCCAAAGTCCATCATAACATATTGGCATTGACTTTCTGATACAGCTAGCAACAAATGTTACTGTCATGCCTGTCTTGTTTTTCAAAAAGTGTAATTACAATCAAAACTCACTGTGATGGTTCCAAAGTCCTGATTTTGGTGGAGAGGAAGGATTGGGGGGGGGGGGGAGGGGGGGGGGGGGGGGGGGGGGGGAAGACACTCAATGCCCCTCTAACAAGCATGTTGTAAAAGCCAACTATTCAAAGGATTGCAAGAATCAAATGTATGGGGCTTAAAGGCCCAGATCTATCTATCTTCTTTTACCCCACCAGGACATCACACAAGCTATAAACACCAGACGACACAAAGTGCCACCATGTGGATGAGGAGAGGTCCCAGAAACTGTGTTTAGCCATTAGACCACATTTATCGCCGGGCTATATTGTGGCCCCTGGCAAGAGCCAGAGTATGGCTTCAAATAATGAAAAACTGCATCCCACAAAGGGATGATGAGGTTATGTTGAAAAAAAACCCAGATGCTGCAGCCTTGCTATAAACCACAAGAGGCCATTCACTATTTTAATGGACACAAAATAGCAGTCTGACATTTCAGCATTTTCTTTCTGATACTCTTAACAACAGATCTTCTTCTTCTTCAAGTTCATCGGCTGTAAACTCTAGAGGAAAGTTTTGGTTGTTCATCCACCTCCGGACCTGAGTGATGTTCCAGAACCTGGGTGTTGCATGCACATCGGCTTTACAAATCTGGCTTATTTATATGTAGACTTGATTCCTTGCCTTTTAGGAAGATGCACTCAACTTCGAAGGATGCTCCCAATAGGCTGACTCTTATGACATGCTTTTTCAAAGAGGCCGTGGGTCTATTCTTGCTTTCCGCCCCAATGGGGCCAAAGAATCCACACAGGGAGATTTGATAGTCATAATTATCTTGTACTACAAAATAATTAGAACAGTCAATGCTATAAAGGGGCAAAGTTACCTGCAGGATTGAAAACTAGAGGAACACTAGGAGTTCTAGTTTCCCCTGTCCCCTCATGTACGTCATCCACATCCATGGCTGCACAATCAGTAAAAATCCACACCTGCAAATATCCAGGAGTGGCAACCATTTAAAAATTTTGCAAAGCAAATAAAATTAAAAGACCCTTTCTCTGCCAAGGGGGCACATGATGCCAGAATCATATTTCTAAACACCAATAAACATGCTTGCATGCAGATAGAAAGATCATGGGTTTGTGGCCTGGCAGAACCGGGCTTTCTTAAAAAAATTACCTTGGCTACAGGGTCGACCATGCCTTGAGTTGGTATCAGGTGCAGTCCTGGAAAGCAAAGGTGGCTGGCATGATACTGTCTGTATCACCCACCAAGTGTCAATGGTCTAAAAAACATAGGTCTAGCAATATATGCCTGAAGGCGCAGAAAAAGGTTCTTAAGTAATCAACACTTGATGTGCAATGTGATCAACTCCATACCTCCCTTTAACATTACTTCCAATATCATTCTATGTTTCTCTTTTAATAGTATCTTTCCCATACTTTCCACACTTGTGGTAAAATGCCCTGAGCAAAAAATTATGCAAGCAGAAGTTACAATGTATTTCTGGATAAAAGACTTTCTGTACCAACGAGTGGCTAGAGTTTATAAACAGACAGTCAGTCTTAGGTGGGTATATTTATTATTCATGCAAAAGGTAAAACCCTAAATTCGAAGCTTCATTGGATTACAAATGGATTTCCCATTTCCCCTCTTCCCGGAGGTGTCTCCACGTAGGCTTTCTTGCGCCACCTTGGTGTCTCAATAATCCTGGGATCTACGCTGGCAGCAACATAGTTACCAGCAGGGTCTCACAAACTGGAGAGGTCAAAAAGTAGAGAACTTAATCCTCCAGTCTGGGGGGCTAAAAAATTGGGCCAACGCCCTCACCTTTGTGAAAGTGCATTTTGTCAAGAGATAGATACCAAAGCCTCAAAATACACAACGTTTATAGACCACAATGCAGACTAAGAAGATAATGAAGAGATAACATTCAGGCTGATTTACAAACAGAACGCAGAAGAACAAGATTATGCAGTAATATTTTTGTGATAATTTAGTTAAGAGTAACATCATTACACCAAAATTCCAGTAATTAAAAAAAAACAGTAAATAATGTTTCAAAGAATCTTCATTCTGATTTATTTGTCATTCCTTTAAGCGGTTGCCAGTGCGGATCAAATCAGTGGTGATAACTGTTTATTCTATAATCACAACTAATAATTTGGCCAAGGAAAAAAAATTGTACATGTTTTTTTTTACTGGTAGGATGCTATTATATTATAATACTATGCTATTATAAAAGAAGAGGAGAAATACTGACATCTTGAAAAATCTAAACATCAAGGAAGATTGGCTAATAAACAGCATCCTGTCTCAGAAGCTGAAATATTTTGGTCATATCAAGCGCCAACAACGGATTGGAAAAAAATTATAGCAGAAGGCATGGTACCAGGAAGGAGTGGCAGGGGCCGACCGACATGAAGATGGGCACAGGATATAAGTGACTCCTTGAGTGTAAAAGTACATGAGGCGGGAGAGCTGGCGAGAGACTGAGTTTCTTTCAGGCAGACTGTGATGAGAGCGACGTTCTGCAAAGGACCTGCTACATCATGATGATAATGATGCTATTATAACAACAGTGTGATAACAAAAATTAATTCTGGCCGTCAAAAAAAAAAAAAAAAAAAGAAGTGAATCTTTTTTTTTTAATTGAAAAAAAAATTAGATCCTAGGTAAATACAGCACAATAAAAAGTAAAAAGGTAAAGATGGGAGATGTGAACCAGCGTCACTGCACATGGTTATGAACCGTAAGTGCTCTTCCACCAGTACGGACAGCTGATAAAAAACTGTCTGCCTGTGTCGCTATCCGCACGCAACTCCGTGGCTACAGCGACGTTCTTCCATTTACCCCAGTTTTAACTCTAGTGCCCATCTCCTAGAGGCTGGGTGAACCCTGGAAACCGCCTGATTTTAAACACCGTCCGTGGGCTGCAGGGAGTCGCAGCTGGATTTAAAAGCGAGTCTCCTATCGACTGAGCTAATGTGGCCCTGACAGTACACCAACCACGTATCACAAGAAGAAATAGAAAATGTAACAGATTTAGAATACTTGTGCTCTTTAGTAAACAACAGTGGCGGCTGTTAAAAAAAAGCAAGAAGACGGCTTGCATTAGCAATGCAGAGATTAAATAGCAAGAAGAGCTTATAGCCAGGTATTTTTGGTAATATTAAGCTAAACACCAATTAAATCGTTCGTGGTAACTACATGATTTGGTACCCATTGGCAATACCTGATGATCACACAGGGTATATTAAATGGAACTGAAAGTGTTAGGCACCCAGAAGGACTGTGCTACAGAACGTCAGGGCCTCACCATGCCTTAGTCTTAGGATGTCTAATATTTTCAAAGACAGAAATGAATGCAGACATCTACAATTGCACAGTAACCAACCTTCTTTTTGAAGATGTCACCAAATAAATTTATTGTTTGTCTTGCCACTCATAAAATACAGAAAGTTAAGGAAGCTGAGAATAAAAGGGATGGTACTTGGTGTATTTATTTTCAGGGAGGATAGTTTTTATGATGGCTTTGTACGTTGTTTACTCACAAGGCACACATCATGATCTTATGTGCCTAAATACAATACAACTCAAGGCCAAGAGTTATCCTGTGATATTATTATTACGAATTGTGATTTTCACAGCTTTCTGTGCTAACTCTTAATTTAAATACAGCCATTGTGACATATGCTATGTTGCAACACAACATGTCCAATTTTAGCAAATGAAGACAAATCTTTCATTTGAATTTAGTTTCCTCTGTGGGGAAAATACAATTTTTTTTTTTTTAAGTTATGTGTTGAACTGCTGTGTTAATTCCTTACAGACTAATCGCCACTTAAATTGCATCTGAATTTATCCCAATAGGACTATTGACCAGTATAGTGGTGCAACATAGACACTCTAATTTTAGTCTGAGGGGAAAATGAATTTGTATGAACATGTTTTGAAAAACTAGAATAAGCAACAGGGAGTCCTTTTGTTTTCTGAAGTCAGCCTGGTGTTTGCATCTTTTCTAATTAAAAAAAAAAACATTATTTAGATGCAACACAATTTGTAAGTGATTTTTCTAAATCAAATGATAAGGTAGGGAAAAGGCCTAAAATGTTAACACACTGCTCTGTTGTTGATCTCAGACAGACAGTGACAATAGACATGATACTATGACTGATAATGCAAGCTGATCATCTGATTTCCAAATTTTGGTGTTATGAAATCTGACATGTCATACAAAAATGGTCATAACATTCAAAGTGCTGAAATTAATTGATTAAAAAAAAAAGACTAGCTGATACATAATTGAACAGAGAAGGCGTGTGAAATTTTAAAAATGGAAAGCAGTGTTGCTGAACAAGTAAAAAGGTAAACATACATGTTTTGCGTAAATAATCTTCATATGTGTCTAAGATCCTTAAATGTTGTGTGATTTTTAAAATATTGTGTTGTAATACTGACATTTAAAGAGTTTAGATTTATTCTGCTCATACTTCTCTTTAATTTGATATCATGTCCTGATAACAGCCAATACTTTTTCTGGCACTCTTCCGAATAACGGTCCCTAATTATTCAAAGACAAAAAATCCCATTCAGGGCCTCAAGAGGTCGTAGTTAGGGACTTGAGAGGTCATGTAGTTAAAAATATGGAACAGGAACACTACAAACTATGCTTTCTTTTATTATATAATTTCATTTGAACAAAATTACCAAGTCTTCGCTAGTACAGTTGATAAGCATTCTGCCTGTTAAGTGGGTGATCGGGGTACGATTCTCCGGCGGGCTACATTTTTTTTCGTTAAAAGGGTGGTTTGCATGTTGTGTTGTGGTTTACAACTAGGCTGCGATATCTGCGCCTTTCGCTCGGTCTTGTGGTTAACAGCTAGGTTGCAATAGCGGCTGCAAATTTTTTTGTTGCTTTTAAAAGGGTGGTTTGCACGTTGTGATGTGGTTACAACTAGGCTGCGATATTTGAAAATGCAATAGTGGCGGCAAATTTTTTGTGGCTTTTAAAAGGGTGGTTTGCATGTTGTGTTGTGGTTACAACTAGGCTGCGATATTTGAGCCTGCGAAATGCTCAATGGTCATGTCACGGGCAGCTAATCTCCTTTTTTTTGTTCGCCCTTGAAATGGCGGTTGGCATATTGTATTGTGGTTTACAAATACGGTGCTATATCTGCGCCTTTCGCTCGGTTTTGTAGTTAACAGCTAGGTTGCGATATCTGCGCCTTTGCCCCAACACATCTGATTTCAGCAGTCCTAATTAGTTGCCTTTTACAACATGCTTTTTAGGTGGCAGTGGATCAATTCTTTTTTTTTTCCCCTTGGAACCCACAAAAAGAGTCACGGGTAATGTCTTGTGTGTGACTTGTCGCTAGTTGGAAGGGCATCATTACGTGGTTATTATTGTTACGGAAGTCCATTAATGGTTGGTTGTAATAGTCCCTGGTTAAACAGATACAGCCTAAAAATGACTCGTGAAATATATTGAGCTGACTGAGTATCCTCAGGAGAAGGGAAAAGGCGTTCTAGATCTAGATATACTTTTGGTAAGATGATGAAAGATTAAATCTGCAGGTTACTTATATATTGCTTAACTTATGTTTGCACCTACTTTTCACTGTTTACATGCAGCAGTTCAAATATTGCCATTTTTAACATTTTTATTCTCAAAATATGGTTAGGTTGTCTCTTTTGGCACAGTACGAAAGTAGTACCATTGCAACCTGTCATTTGCCCGTTCTGTCTCTAGACTTAGGAGTCTTTTAGCTCCGCCCTCTCAAACATTTGACTATCCCTGTCCTTATGTCAATCAGGTCATAGGCATCCGTAAATGTTTTACCCTGTTGTCCAAGTTCCGCCCTTGTGATTACGAGTATGTTGTAACATCACTAGACATCACTAGGTAGATTCCGTGTATCACATTTATGTGCTAATTCGCCTGCTTAGACAACTGGACCCG